GGTTCCGATCTCAGGACCTCCCGCCTGCGAGGCGAGCGCGCTACCGTTTGACCATGCAATACTGATAAGGATGAGGAGCCTCTATCACCTATGTTTACCTTGTGCCGCTAGCGCACGCGGTTTTTCCGCATCTTTAGCCCTTTTTTTGAGGGATTTCCCGGCCCCATTCGAAAAAACGAAAAAATACGGCATCCCTAAAATCACTTCTAGTATCTTCATGCGAAATTTCAACTCGAAATTCCGGTTACACTTGGGAAGCTCCCCTTGTCAGTATAAGACTCATGTTCAAATAAGGAGTGTAATAGCACAGAATGATGTGAGTAATGTGACTGTCCAAGGTGAAGGGTCACTTCGTGTACAAAGCCTCAAAATTGGCTCGTTGATACCAAAGTATAGAGAGATGGAGAGTTTCATGGATATTTTGCTACACAAAAAAACCCAAAAATATCGAAACAAACTGGAATAATGGATATTATTACTCTGTGGTTTGAAAAATGAAGGTTCGAGAACAAATTATTTGAAATTCTAATCTTCCTCGTTCAGGGCATAGAATTACCGGTAATTAAAATGTCCCCTCTCGCCCTCTATTGGAATAAACACCAACCAAGCTGCTCGAAACTGATTTTTCATGACGTCAGGGACTTTTTCGTCAAAATCTCAAAATCCATTTTTTTTGACCCAGCTCTTTAAAAATAGCTTTGCTGAAAACTTTCCTCGGTCGGAGATCCCTGTTTCCGTAGATTGGCATATTTATAAATGGCAATGTGGCAATATGAAAATCGAGTCCTCCCCAAATTAGATAGCAAACGCCTTAAGATCGGACAGCTTTGGTGGTTCTCGAAAGGGAGGCTTCGTGAAAACAACTTTTATGAGCATATTAAATCCGTGCTCGGAATGTTGAACTCTTTGGTCTTAGAGCCGTGTGCACGATGCCTGATTATTTTTTACAAAATGTAATTGCGCCAAAACAGAGCGGGGGACGAAAAGGAGAAAGAAGGTTGGGCCCCTTTAGATACGCAATTTGCGTGCTACGAATGAAAACCTGATTTTCTCAACTGGTCTGTCGCTTTTCATTTCACATATACTTGTGTGTCCTACACAATCCTGCAGTGATTCCTAATTTTCAAAAATTCGATGCCAGCTTTTTTACTCAGAGCATACAAGCGTAATTAGAGATTTCGCGAGAGGAGGAAACTACAGGCCCATTATCCCTCACTAGAAGCTGATGCTATTGAGTAGCAATATGGTTAATATTTTTCGGAAGGGAAAAAGCACCAGTCCTTTGGGGTCCGGTCCTCGGGGACCTATACCTTCTACCCAAGCAGCTCAGATTACAGTAAATTTCAATTACATAGTAAAATTATTTCTAAGGAATCGGAGTACGCAAGGGAAAAATATATATCATCGGAAAAGAATAGCTTGAAGGTGTGTCTAGGTATGAGTATAATTTACCATATGGTCAGTCTCGTAGACAACCTCCCAATCCTTCTTAACGACAAGCTCGATAGATTTTGATCTGAAAAGAGACCCTTGGATCGGCTCGGATGAGTTGCTTCCCAGCTTTTTGCATACGCAAGTGTACACTCCATTCTCCCGGGATGAAACACCCTGAAAATTTAATCAATTATAGAGTTACAATGATGAAAGATAAAATAAAAATCACCTATATAAAATTGAAACATAATGCTTAAACATCTTGAAGATATTGTGTGCAATGCAAATATTTAGAAAAATGATGAGCAAGATCCTAGGATAATAGAACGAAACTAGGCCTTCTGGTTAATTTACATAGAGCAGGCTTACGCTGGTAAAAATTGGCAGTAGAATCTGTGTTCCAAAATACTATAGACCTACAGCCGGCTGTAAGATTTCCAATAGCTTCTATAGCCGGTAACACAATTTCTTATAGCCTTTTATAGCCGATGGCGATTAAGCAACAGCCCGGCGATAAAGTGTATGCTAAACGTTACTAATTGGACTGCATTTTGCAATTTGGAACTATAAATTCTGCCTCTTCTGGAAAAACACTTATGTGCTCAGGGAAACTACTGGCACATACGTTATTTTTAAACCGGGCTAGAATTTATAGTTCCAAATTGCAAAATGTAGTCCAATTACGGATGCTAGGACTTAGTGAGTTTTTGGACTACCGCTCTCTTTTTGGGCCATAGTATCTTGATTTATTTTGCGAGGAAAGCTCCGTACTTTTGAAGGATGCCTGCCACTCTTAATATGTTGGAGCGCCTTCAATTTCGTATGATAGTGTGCAATACCTCTGGTGTGAAATAGTTGCTTCAAGCGCCGTGGTACGCTGCGGCGCAGCGCGGCGGGCGGGCAGCCAGCGCGATACGCGCATTGACGCCTACAAACCTAACAGGGATACTTCACGCATTGCGCAATGCGCGAAGTATCCCTGTTAGGTTTGTAGGCGCCAGTGCACCGCCGCTCCGCTTTGTGTTAGGCTCTAATATTTAATCTCGTGAAGTCAGCGTTTTTCAACTCATGACTTTGCAATGTTTGCACACTCTGTATGGATTAATCTCATTTTAATTGTTGAAAAAAAATATTAGTAAAGGAAAATATAATGTGCATTTTGTAAATATTAAGGTGATTCCGTACAAAGTTAAGGATTTACAAAGCACACGGATTTCTACACAATTTCTTATAGCCTCTTATAGCCGATAGCGAAATAGCAACTGCCAGGCGATAGGAACTATAGCCCGGCTGTATAATTTTCTATCGCTTCGTGTAGCCCGGCCGTAAGATTTTGTCCACTTTCTACAGCCAGCTTTATGATTTTCTATCGCCTTCATCAGTCGGCTGTAAGAACTCCTGTGGTATTTTGAAACGCAGCTCCTATCGCCAATTTTTACCAGGGTATCCAGAGACCATCCCTCATCGTAGTTGCTTGGTTGTGCCAAGTGTAAGTGATGCTGTTTTAACAAAACTGAACGAAGAGGGGATTTACCTCAGGAATTTACCTTGATCGTGAGGGTTCCGGTGAGGACATCGTACTTGTACTTGTGGTGGTCGAGAGCGTTTCCGGGGCCGATTATGAGGTCCTCGTTGATCTGCCAGAACTGGAAGCGGTGTTCCGAGTCGTTGCTGGGGCATGGAAGCACGGCCACCTCCCCAACGGCCGCCTCCTTGACCAGCGTCCCCAGGACCCCCGGCCCTAAGAGTACGGCCAGCACGCATCCGATCACCTGCTCCCGCAGCACTGATCAATCAAAAACACAATTAGCTTTCCCCAGAGACTCGTCAGGGGTAGAGTACCTATATAGAGAGAGTACGGACAGATCGCATCATGGAGGGCTTAGGGCCCAAAAGTGCAGCCACCCTTCCAACGAGCTTCTAACGCAAAAAATTCCACTGCCAGTCTGCAGATTCCAATTCTAACCAAGATGGCTAAGAATGTACATAAATGAGCGTTTTTCCGCAAAAATGAGTAAATTTATGCAATGACTAAGTCAAATACGTGCTTTATAAACGATGGTTCGTAACAATTGTATTAGTAAATCGCTCTAGATAGTTGAAATTCATAGGTTGGCTGCATTTCTGGGCCCTAACTTTATTCGCGGAGGCATCGGTGAAGGCCTGATGGATTTGCGGAGTTTCAGATCTGTCTATACTCTCGCTATACAGGTACTCTAGTCAGGGGCCATCCCTAAATTGCGTCACCCATGTTTTACGACTTTTTGACCCCTTTTGTCACCTACATGTCACTCACCTCCAGACCTCCCCCCCTAAAAACCCCGTTATTTTAAGCGTATCCACTTATTGCGTAAAGGCGTGGGGTTGTAGCATACTTTTGCCGCAGGTGTATCTCGCAATGATTTTCATATTAAAATGACTCGGAACTCTCATAGAGCTTATAGGAAAAGTCTAAAATCAACTCATTTTCTCACTATAATGCGGTGACGTCACTTTTGCTTGCCCTACCCCTTCGTCACCCACATGCCACCTCCCTCCAGACCCCTCCCCTTCCTGGATAGGTGATGCAATTTATGGACGTTCCCTTAAAGAAAGAGTTAAGACAAGTTAACTTAAGGATGTCACAGACGGGAAAAAAGACTACACAGTCTGAACGTTTTTCGTAATCTTTGACTGACTCATTAGCAACTTCCTTTCCTCCCTGCTCGTGCGTATATGTAGAATGAGGAGATTTTTACTCCTTTCAATGTCATATTATTCTGTGAGCTTAAAGAAATCTGAATCAAATTCTCTAATATTTAAAGTCGACCATTTAAACGCGCTTTTATGCCACCTGCCACGCGATCATATTTCATTACATTGTATTGTACCGAGTATAATACAAGAACGAGATATCGTCACCCTCCGACCAAAGTATCAAAGGCGCCATGCGACGTTTCAAAATTTCCGCCGTCATTTCATTCTTTTACGGAGAAATTATTCGACGAAGCTGTCCGAAAATTTCACTGAATTTTTCTGTGCTGCCGATAAAATTCAGTGAATTTTTCAAACAAATTCAACATAAAAAAATAAAATGGCGGTGGGAATTTTTAAACGTCGCATGGCGCTTGTAATACTTTGGCCGGAAGGTACAAATACAAATGCCAAATGCGGAGGATACAATGCCATTATTGGACCTAGTTCCCCCGGGTCAACACAAAACGTGCAATTTTCCTCCAAGCCTACGCAAGTTTCAGCCTTAAAATCGAATTTGTTTTTCTCGTGATAGAGAATACTCCAAATAAGCAACGAGTCAGGAAAGACGGGGGGGGGGGGAGAGGAAGGAGGAAATGGGAGAGGGACAGCTTTTTGTGAATGAGAGGGCGGGTGTTGCGAGGGGACGAGGGAACAGGGAAGGGGAGAGGGGGAAGTCTAGAATACAAGATGAGTAATTTATGAACGAGTGCCAAATTTTATAGCTCGTGGAGATGTTAGCACTGCTAGAGATGTCACTGGAATGAGAGCCCTGCCGCTCGAAATGACAATTCTGATAGCTTGTTTACTCGAATATCTCGGAAATTTAAATTTATTTACAAGCCTCGACCTATGTTCTAGCTGCATCTGAGACTTCCGCACGGACGCGACATTTGTTTTCAAAGATATGTGTGTCGTTTATTTTGCTAGGTTAGGAGGTTCTCTTACGCTGCGAAAGTGACGTTTCCACGAACAAGATAAGTGGAGAGCCAAGATTCAGCAATTTTTAACAAGACTAAGGTCCGTATTCATATAGATCTTCCTTGAAGAGCTTCCTTCCTTCTAAGGCCGTATACTGTTTACAAAGTAATTTAAGAGGCCTCCAAAACATTATTATTAAGAGGAAAATTTCTTACGAGTCTCGAGTACAAATTTTACAGAATAGGTACTTGGGGATTAAATCCTTGCGAGTAATCACGGTGATTTGACACAACATAGTATTTACGATCTTAGATAGCTTTAAATAGGTTCGGACCCAACTAAAGATTCTGAAAATTCACAATATTCTTTTATTTTATTTTATTTTAAAATTTCTCGACGTATTAAGTAATTTTAATTCTCGCTAGGATTTTTTTTCCAAAGTTAATTTGTGGAATTTTACTTAAGTCTCGGAAAAAATTTCATTTTCATTCCAAGTCTTTCTAATCACAATGTAATCCGTGCATGGTCTTCCGAGGGAAAATAAATATTTCAGGAACGACATTGCGTGCAGCCTATGGCTGTATGTATTCATACCCGCATATCAGAATAAAGGGTTTGGTAGTTACATTTTTTTTGGAAACTGAGCTGAATAAATTCTGTAATAAAAATTGCGTTTACCTCCCAAACCCGGGCTAACGTGTACCAGTACAACCAGTAACATATCCGGACTGAAAATTTAGAGGAGGCAGAATGAACATTCCGAGGGAATAATTTAGTCATATGCGTTTCTATTTCGCCTTCGATTTCCAAAGTAGGCCAGAAAGCATCCCCCGTGCAGCAACAGTTATTTTCTCCTGAATTCCTGTCGCATATTGCCTAAAAATCTTGATTCAACTTAAATTATGTTACACTTTATCCATCGATTCTGATGCCCGTTCTATTCATCTATTTATGGCTTTATGATAATAAACGTATAATTTGATAATAAGTCACTCTCAAAAGGAAAGCAATGCTTCTATGGTGTATGTGCAGAGAACAGTGTTGACACTACCAACAGACTTGTTTAGGATCAGTGTAAGATTTGAATCCGGGAACAGAAAATGTATCTTAAGTACCTTTGATCCGTTTATATGTCCTATAGAGTGAACAGTGGCGTGGCGTGTTTTGCGATATATCGATTGTTATGCCATTTAAACCCATGGAAAAGGATCGATAAACAGGGTGTTCGCAGGGAACACCTTAATAATCGATTCTTTACCATAGGTTTAAATCGCATTACAATCGATGGATCGCAATTCACGCCACGCCACTGAGAGTGAAAGAGTAAACAAGAAACCGGAACTTTGAAAACGACAAGCCACGTGGTTCCCCCGACGCTCAATGGAACGAGCCATCAAGAGAGATCAGACAGGAAATTCATGTCAAATATTGCCAATTTTCATGTTTATTTTGTCACATCATTAATTTTAGATAGGGATTCTGGAAGGAAATTTCTCGAGAAAACCAAAGGTACCACTTTGAGACCTCCACGTTTCATATAAAACCAGATATAAGTTTTTAAAGTTTCGACTTAATGTCCAACCTCTCTCATTGAGTCGTTCAACTGTGCGATGTCTAGCCGAGGAGTCGAGAAAAATCAGGGATTAATTCACCCCTGTTAAGCTGAGTATATGGAAATTGTTTCAGGCGTTGAAAAAGGTGCTAACCGGCCTTTGATCTGAGACTACCTTGCGTGATCACACACTTGCTCCTCTTGTTGCAACTTTTACACTCTCTTCAGCAAATGCCAGACTTTAGACATGCATAACATTTCAAATTAATTCGATTGGAAATTTCTGAAATTATGGGATGTTAATCAAGTTTACAGAAATGGAATGCATTTCAAGTGCGCAAGAGAGATATTTAGCTCCTAAAGTTGTGTGTCTAAATCGCGGATTTTAAAAATATAATCGGCGATTCAATTTTCAGAAAGAGTGTCTGAAAAAGTTTGAATAAAACAATTTTAGATAAAAAATTATCAGGTGAAAGGGAATTGCATGGTGGTTCCATAAGAGAGTTATTTGATCGAATTTCTCGCTTGGCAAAATAAGCATGTAATAGAATGATTACAAATCTTTAAAATACGGGGATAAGGCACGTGATGGAGTTTAATTTTTTATCGTTTTTCGATTTTAAAATTTGAGTGTGAAATTTTGTCCTTAAAAATTGATTAATGAAAAGTATAGCGTCATGTAGCATCATTAAAATAAAAATTAAAAACATATTTTTGCCGAAGCGCTGTTAGCTTGCATTACTTACTCCTATTTTCTAAAGTAACTATGAATACGTATGATAATACCTCCCTCGACAGACACCGCACATGTGCAGTCCAAATTGCAATAGGTATTACGAATCGACTAATCTTTTTCCTCTCATTCTAATTTAATTTCAAAATCTCCAGTTCCATTTTGCTCTCTATGTCAACATTTGTCCCTTGCAGTCGACCATCTTGTGCTATCTTGCCCAAAAACCTATACTTCACACATCAAAATTAAAAATACCTCCCTCCAAACATCCATCCCTTAAACTCTGGTGATCCAAAAGTAATAACCGATATTTTAAAGCTCTTTAAAGAAGTAAATTTAAAAATTTGAGGTAAATTCCTGGTCTTCGACGTAAATAGCCCAGTTGATGGTCGTCGCAATAAATTAAGTAACTATAATCATTGATGAGTTTCAAGTCTATTCCACATGTTTAGGACATATCCGCATAGGCGGTTCTACGGGGGTGCCAGTGGGTGCCGGGCACCCCCAAGCGAAAATTAAGTACGGTTATTGGAACTGTGAAATTACTGCTTTCAAAGATTCTCTTTTCACTCACACCGAGAAAAAATCCCAGCAATTAATTGAAAATGTTTTAAACAGAATTAATATTGACAGCCGTGTTTTACAAAGATTCTAACTACTGGTTTTTTATGGTAAGATTGTAGTTTTGATGGAAAGTTTTTCTAAGAATGTTCTACTTTGAATTTATAGGTATTTTAGTTTTGATGGAAAGTTTTTCTAAGAATGTTCTACTTTGAATTTATAGGTATTTAAGTAGATAGGAAGGAGAGAAAAAGAGAAAGGAGGGTAGGAAAGGGATACTCGTAAAAATTGAGGGCCGAAACTTAGGCCTCTCCTGAGCGACCGTCCCCTTCGGAGCTGGTCTCCGACATTTTCCACCTCTGGGCACCCCCAAGCATGAAGGTCTAGAACCGCCTATGCATATCCGTACAAAAAGCGCATGTGTCATCAAGAATTAATTAAGAAAACTGACGAATCCAAACAAACGGTGCTTTGACTGAATTATTTTTCCAAGTATCATATTACTTGATAATTTTTGCGCAGGATTTTCCGACAAAATCAAGCTGTAAATAATCGATAGTCCATGTAAACTGCGAATGGAAATCTCGACATCTCCGAAATCCGTTTGATCAAACGCACATTTTCGAGAACCTTGCATCGGGAGGTCTCACGGAGGGCTCCTCAAACTAAAACACCGCGAAAACGAAAACATTTTGATAACCCTCGCGTCTGGCGGTCACTGGCATTGATCGGGGTCAAAAACACTGTCACGAAAAGTTCAGTCACTTAATGTCGCTAAAACACTTACTTGTTTCTGGAGATTTCACGTATGTGGGCCCGCGCGGACTTACCGTTGCTTGACAATCGCAGTTTCTGAGCATGCCAAAGCGAGGTTGTCGTCTTTCGGGATAGATATATCCATATCAGATAGGAGCGCGGATGTTTTAAGGGCCGGTTGGCAACGTGGAACCAAGGTCTAAAACTGAAAATAGACCCCCGAAGAGGTGATGCCAAACGTTGAATTCACCGCTCAGGTGATAAAAAGACGTACCTCTATTTTTACTCGAGACATGAAGAGTATGGAATTATATGCTTATAAAGGGTTCGTTTTCGAGGGGTGATACGCCGTTCTGTCGGCAGAGCGACGAAATTCTGCGTCGCCGTCTTCCGTAAAGTCCAATCAGTCCACTTCTATTGATCGCGAAGCCCATGTAAGTTTCGATAGTTCAGGGAGCCTTACAGAGGTCCCTCGAGGGCAGAGTTGTGACATTTTGGCGCGTATACGTAGTATACCGCCTTTGCGATCGTTTCGAACCCTGCTCGATACAATAACCGAGTCCCTTAGTTCCTTACCGAAAAGTGACTACCGCGAACTTCTCAGATTTTCCAAAGCGTGTAAAAAGTTTATTTATCCGTCAATAATTATGATTTAAAGTTGTTTCTCATTCTGGGGGTCTCTAGTTTATGTGCAGTGAATACCAAGAGTCTACGTTACTTGGTTTTTTTTAAAAAAAGCCTAAGAATGCGACGCGCTGATTTAAAATATGCATATATAAGCAGAATCAAGCGAACTGATTCGAGGATGGTTGAGCAGGTCGGCACTCTCGGAATGAGAATTTAACTCCTCCGTTTTGTTCAAAACGTTGCTTTGACAGATCTGTAACCTCGGTTATACTTTGCAAAAGTTGGTACCCGTGCTCTGATAGTGCTGTTCATCTGACAACATTGTCAGTGTCAGCTGATAAAATGTATATTTTCACATAAGAGGTTAATAAAAGTTTTCAGTCAGTCTTTGACATCTATTGATAATTGTTTTGGTATTTATTTATAATTACTACGTAATTATATATTTTTCTTAGTTTTTAATAAGAAAAATATATAATTACGTAGTAAGTAGGTAAGTAAATAGTAGTAGGTTTGTAAATTACGAGGAGAGGCGGGCATTCTGTTCAGCATATCGATACATAAGTATTTTCATACGTAGAATTTAATTTTCACGTTAGGGAGTCGACATATTTTGATTTTTTCGATTTATTCCGGAAAATATATGGTTTTTCGTGATTGAAATTACTTACAATTGTTTCATGAAAAATGAATGCACCCAAAATGACTATAGCATTTTGACTTTCACATACGTGCACTCACTAAATTGATTGGTAAATTCAAAGAGTGGGTACATCGACCTGGTATATCAAGTTTCTGCGATTTTTTACGGCAAATCGGTAGATTTTCGGGATGTGGATTGCTTACTTTCAATTCATGAATGAATAAAGCATGGACATGGTTGAGCTTCTTTGCATGAAAAGACGTTTAAAATAACAAAATCAAGACATATTTAATACAATTGCATTTACATCGAGTCAATTTCTTTTCAATAATATAACGGGATTTATAATACCGGTGATTTGGGTATTTTAGCCCCAAAATACCTTTAAATCGACTTTATCTTTTAGGAGTTCGACAGAATTTTTCCTTTCTTCGCTTAAATTTTTCCGTAGCACTTTTCTTCAAGAATCTGATAAGATTTTGCTTGAGGCAGATCAAAAAACTTAAATTTGTTCGAATAGCTTTCTAGATTCACAATACACGGTCTCGTCAAGGTGCGTCGTTGACCTTGCAGTGTTGGATCGTGAATTCTCTTGTTGTGCTGCTTGCCTTTTTTGAAATCTCTGTAAATGAAACCTAAAGGGGTTGATATGTGCGAGTTAATGACGCGCCTTATCAACACATTGTGTTGGAGCTCACTGCTTGTTAAGACGTTCTTTTAATTAGATAGGGAAGGGAATGATAAAAAAAGACATAGAAAAAAAGGAAGGGGTCAACTGGACTGCATTTTGCAATTTGGAACTATACATTCTGGCTCTTCTGGAAAAAACACTTATGTGCCTAGGGAAAGTAATGGCACATACGTTGTTTTTAAACCAGGCTAGAATCTATAGGTCCAAATTGCAAAATGTAGTCCAACTGTACATCACGCTGAACTTCTGACTAAACTGTCGATGTCAAGACTGGAGATACATCTCGATGTGAAATGTTATAAACTTTCTGTCTCAATGTTTATTTTTCCTATTTTCATGAAGAAATGCCGGTCAAAATTTCGAAAACAAACTTTATACCCTGCCAAAGTTTGGTATTTAACTACTCAGGGGTGAAGGACATTTATGAGTACAAGGCACATTTATGACGAGTCCGGTTAGTTCTTAAGTTGAGTCGAAAGACTAGAATTTCGATATTTATCAGAATTTTTTTTCGATTTTTCAAAAGACAAGTTGCAAGTGGCTGAGCTCAGTTTCTTGCCTCTTAATGGTCAAAAATTGTCCTTTTATTCCATCAAATGTAGGCCCCGCACTTTAAATTAGAAGAAACCATTTGAGAGTAGCTTGAAATGTGATGTTACAGGAGTTTTTAGGGACCAAAAAAAAACATAAGTCGATGTTTAATTCGAGATTAATTTAATTAAAAGAATGAGACAGTTTGTGGATCATGTTAAAATCCGTTTGGATTTTGAAGTCCCTAAACAAAATTTGGAGTATTACAAATAAATTAAGGAATATACGTTATAACACATCTTAAATGATAGGTTGCTTATACCGAATTAAAAAGTAGTCATACACTACAGTGAAATAGGAGAGGGCCAATAGAACTTTCTACATTTGTAAATTCTAGTAATTGAGGAAGAAATGGAAAAAAAAATTAGATGCACTGAGAAAATTAATTAAAACATTTGACAATTATTCAAAAGAATTTCTCAGACTTCCAAAAGTATGATCGTATCAGGATGAATTTTAATGAATTTAAAAACAGAAGAACTAACTCCTGTTTTCTGAATGAAATTGAGAGACAAAATATGGGAACATGGGGAAGGTCACAACATGATTAGCGCGTTCCATTCGCTGACCACCGTTTTATGGTGGGGTAACCATAAAAATAAATTTGAATTATCTACGGACATTGATATGTAAAGCGGTTCGAGTATCAAACATCGTTACACACGAAGTAAAATAAAATTGGGTGGTCTGATAAGGTAAATTAAGTAATTTCCATTGCAGGCACAGAGTAGCAATTCACTCATATACAAATATATTCCAAATTGAGATTATTATCTTCTTGGAATAAAGACATTAGCATCACACTACAAATACAATTCACGCATTCACACACTCACACTTATAAACTAATTAAATCACAGCATTTTTGAAAATGCCCTTGCTCACGCACATTGCATAGCTATTTTACTTGATAATTTGCGTCTTAGAAAGCAATTTCATAATTGCGAATTTTCTTGAAAATTCAACTTGGTGTTACGCAAATTATTTCGTTCAACGTCAAAATTTTAATCTCACGTAGATTTGCTCCGAACTAGACTTAGCAATGCGCAGCATGAGTGGGTATCACAAGTAGGAATAGTTTAAAAAAATAAAATCGCCAAAATCATGTCATAGTCACAATATCTGAAGGTTTTTCTTTAATACCTAGAAAATTTACCTTTATTTTGCTGGTTACGATATGCCTGAAGGAGCTATTGTTCGACTCTTTATAATACGTATAGTGAGTTTTGACATGATTCAGGGCAGAACTACGAAGTTAAGGACACTCAATAGCGTAACACGTATAAAATAAGGACGTGTTCTCGGAATGAATTACATTTGTCGATACAAATAAATAAATTAATGACTCAATTAATTGATTGGTTAATCAATAGATAGATTCAGTAGTCATGAAGTTAACGAGGGGTCAGTTTCGATTCATAATCTCAAGGCTGCCGAAATTTTTTTGCGTGCTGTCATTTTTGATCTAATCAGAGAAAAAATTACAGTTTTGGAAAATAATTCATTCTGTTAGAGGTGGTCTCATTATCCTGGGTTCATGAAAGTTTTGCTCACTCTCTGAACAGAAAAGTATCTCCGTATTAAACTTTGACTCCAGGGAAGATGTCGGTGTAAGGATTTTTGTCGAAGAATCGCTTAACGACGCCGAACATCAGCTGGTTACTTTGCTTTTCCATGAGTGGTTTCATCTGCTTGAATATTTCCTCAGCCTGATCATTCAAAACGTTGTTGGTCATTCGTCCTGTAAACAAATAATTTCATCGTCAGATAGCCAAACAAACACCTGAAATGATTTTACTTACATTTTAACGAGGACAACTGGAGGGGGCTTTTGCCTCCCCCTCCCTCCCCTTTCATTTAAGAGTTGACCTACCTTGGATCAAATTTAAATCAAATCAAGGGCATATTTGGAATTTTTGGTACGTTTTGACCTCCCTGACAAACTTTCCTCATTCAAACAACTTTTGCCCCCCCCCCCTAAAATTAGGCCAAAATGACGTCTCTGCGGACTGATTATTGAAATTAGTACATAAACCCATAGACAAAAAGGACGTAGGTAAAACGGAGCAATTCTACTGGTGGAGGCTCGTGGTTGCAATTGACTATGAATGGACGTAAGTAATAGACTAAAGAGAGGACCTTTAGTTGGTGTATCATTATCCCCCTAAAACTTTACCAACTGCCCATTTCAACCAATGAGACATGGGCGCATGGAGAGGAGTGGGGAGGGGGACATGGAGGGCCTGCCCCCCTAAGAATTAAAAATTGTATTACCCCCCCCCCCCCCCAAGACTCCGGATGGTGGGAAACACCTTCGTCGAGGATGATTATCTCTTGTAAGGTAGAGACTTAAATGAAAACACCGTCTCCAATCAGTTAGTATTTTCTAAAATTTTCATAACAGAGGCCTTAAAATGCGTCCAAATAGAGTTAAAATTTCAAAAATTCTCCAGACGTGTTTCATGCAAAAATCCACAAGTATTTTGTGCTGAAAGTGAAAAAAATTCAGCAGGAATTCATGGAAAATTTGCAGCAAGGAAGCCTCAAAATGCGTCCAAATCGACCCCCCAACAAAACGACTTAGGTACGCCTATGCAATGAGATCACTCCAATTTCTCTCTGTCTTTTTTGTCTATCGCTTTGTCTATCAATTTCAGTAACTACTGATCTTGAATCAGCCCCGTATTCGTGAATTTTGAGCAATATTATACTCCTGAGACAAAGATTTTCTTCACTCCGGCCGAAGCTTGCAACGGGTTAAGTAATATTATTTTTTCATACATTTTCCTTTTACTACTTGGACGCGGCGCGTGTGGCGGTAAAACATGTGTTAGTTTGCGAGTTGCGTGCGCGCGGCGCGCGACCGGCGGCCGGCCCACGACCTCGGGCGTGGATTGATCGGACCAACAGCTGCGTTTATCGCGGGACTTACGAGCCGTGTTCACTGCCAAGGCCCCGACCAAGGGCGCAAAAACCAGATCTTAAGATACATCAGAATCCGCTTTTGCCGCGTCCTACCCACAATCTCAAATTCCCTTCCTTAGATGCAAGCCAATTTCGGATGCCACGCTTTTACGCGTAGAAAAATGCAGTGGAAAAAAAACACATTGGATCTAGAGTCCAGACTCTTAAAAACATCGACAAGAAAAAATACTCTTGATTCAATAGGATTTAAGCTTAAATCAAGAACCAAGAGACTTAATTTGAGCAAATTTCCTTTTCACTTTGGAGGAAGCTTAAATCTGATTGAATCAGGAGTATTTTTTCTTGTCAATGTTTTCAAGAGTCTGGACTTTAGATCCAATGTGTTTTTTTTAAGTGTGATGGGAAAATCTCAATTTTTTAAACGCTTAGCCAACATGGAGCGCTTTTTTATTTTAGCATCGCGATCAGCCAGGGCAGATCACGATGTGCTCAGATTTCGACATTTGCCTGTAACACATACATAAAGATACAATATATCGACGGTGTAAGTCCGCAACTACGGATCTCGGTTTGCGACGTCGTAGACTTCCTGTCATACTTCATTTTTTAAACGGAAAACTACTCAACGGCAATTCTTTAAAACTGTCGTGATTTTTCTTCTCTTGGTGAAGAAAATTCTGCAAAAACTTCAAGGCATGGTGTCAATTTATTCTCCTTCAGAAAAAAAAAGAATGTAGAGGCGGAGATTTTCAAACATCGCAAACGAGATACGTGGTTGGGGTCTTACGCCGTCGATACATTTTATAGATCCTGCAATAACGAACCAGCCAATGTAATCGAGCGAAATAAAAGGCAGGTTCCGAAATTTAAAGCGGGATCATCCAGGAACCTTTATTTTCGGAGAAACTTGGACCGCCTTCAATTTAGGGAGTATACAACCTGCAATGACCCTTTAACTGCAAGTACCCCGGCGGGCCCCTGAGCTCTAATCCGGCCCTAGTCTCCTATCCTCTTAATGCCCCTTCAGTAGTCTACATTCCCTCATCCGTGTAAAATCCCCTGCTTTCATCTTTCACTATGGTGGTCGTCCCGTATACTCCTAAGAATAATCAAATGAAGCATTTTGTTTCGCAGTCTCCCTTCTGTCATCCTGTTATCACGACCGTACCAGACTATCTGTTTTGGTCTCGGCGTTAAATACTATCTTACTTTCTACTTCTATTTGCAATATTATATTTGTAAGGGGGGGTCAGGGGGGTCAGAGGGGGGGAGGTCAGAGGGGGGGGAGGTCAGAGGGGGGGCAATCACCCTGGTAAAAACGGCCTTTTGGACGATCTCATGATGATGCGGGCCTGATAACACTCAAGATAGTGTCAAAAAAGGCTGAGGTCAGTGCAAATCAAGCTAACGTCCGTATACAAATTCACTTGTTTGCCAAAAAGATCTCCTAACACGTCGCGTTGCTCAACAGACAATGAGAAAGTTATAAGTATCAAGGACTTGAAGGACGAAGATCCTATAGAGTAGAGGAAGCAAAATGGAGTAAGGTAGAGTATAAGTAGGGTCAAAAACTCCGGATACGAATTCACCTTGTTTACCCATAAAGGATCCTTGCCAATAGGTTCTACGTTGGGTTACGCCCAATAGTCAAACACACACTAGATTTCTTCATCTTTGCATCGCCTCGCTGAAATTTCCATTAAATGCAAAACGCCATGCATAATTGGACGTATTTTTGTCAAACGGAACTATGTGCATTATGACGTAAGCTCTGTTATACATATATTCTTATGGGTCTCAGGGCTCATGTCTTAATTCACATAATTCTGTTTGACAGAAATACGTCCAATTCAGACAAACGTACAGAGCCGACCACTTTACTGGATGGTTACTTGGTTGCTGTGTTGGTTTTTCTCATATTTTTGTTTTTTTGGTCCTACATTAATTATTCATCACTTTCAGTGCTACACTTTCATTTTGAATCTAGTGATCTCGCTTTATATATACATCAGGGGTGGTGGTGTTTTTTTTTTTTTTTTTTTTTTTTCCTTATTTCCATTTCTTTTTTTCTCTGTTTTCGGCACATGATTTTTCAAGCTGCTTTTCTGATTAAACGGCGATTTCAATAACATATCATTTTGATTCAATAGGTAACACGTGCCAGATATTTATCGTTCGCAAGAATAACGTTTGGCTTGCTTACTGAAATAGAATAATGATAATTCTTAGCCCTTTTTAGGTAGGTATCATTTTTTTTGTAGAAGTGTCAGTAGATTTAAAGAATCAATTTGTATTTATTTTTTTTTCCTCTTTCGACTAAATGTACGCGTTTTCCCTAATGTCAAACTATTGAAGTAAAGCGCAAGAGAACATATATTTAGATTACTTGCATTTTTTTCGGAGCGTTTTAATCCAAGCTTAATCTTCGCGTTATCTGCTGCATACAGATTATTACAATTTATAGACAAAGCTATAGACAAAAAAGAGAGAAAGGTATATGGAGGGATCCCATTGGTGGAAGCAGATAGTTGCAATGGACAAAGGAGGAAAGTAATAGACTAACTATCGGCAACTGTCAAGAGACCCTACGGTTGGTCCATCATTTTCCCCTTTAGTCTGTAAGAAGCACTCGTTTCATCCAATAGCATCGCTTAGTACTCCCTTTGTCCTCTTTGACTACCAATATGAATAATCAGCCCGCAGGAGTATATGAGGCTTAGCAAAGAAAAAGTTCCGTTTTATCTGGATTTGAAAATTTTTTGCTCCATATTCATGTTTTTTTTTTTACTAGTCACCGGCGAACGGACTTAGCATTCCTCAAAACTTTTTATGAACTCTCGAGAACTTCCTCATGAGCTCCTCAGGACTTCCCGGGAAGGGGGAAGTTTAGGAATTTGTGGATGTTGATTTTTCGGTCTCACCGACGAAATCCATGCTGAAGATACTTGCAAAGAGCAGTTAAGTGCAATAAACTTGCTCAATGAAGCTCACGAGGTAAACCTTGAAATCTCGTGCTGCATCCAGCCTTCCCAGCCGGGTTGTCAGATTGTGTTCAAATTCGGATATTTTGGGTATTTTAGAAGGGAATGTTCTTACTTCTTAGACGAGCTTTTCAACGAGTTTTTCTATTGTTCACCTTGTAATCAGTAAATTGACGCAAAAGAAGAGGAAGAAAAAAAAGAATTGGAAAATTTTCACTTGAGATCTGTGCACACAGCGACACCTGCTATTAAGGACTTCTCCACATTTTTTGCAGAATATATGTAACAAGAATTTTCAAGTGAAATGCCAGAGAAAACTCGGGAAATAGATCACGTACGAAAAACAAAAACCTACGAGAAAATGTTTGAATTGTTCATGGTGCATTAAGTAATACGTTTAGAGGGATATTTTTACCTTTTCAGCTAATGCTTTGAAAAAAAATTCCTGGACCAAAATCCGTACCATTTTTGTCGTGACGGAAAGAAAATCAAATTTTCAGAACGATAGAAGAAACAAAATAAAATAATTTGAATCTATTTTTTTCTGTTTTTTGGAAAGGAGTCGTCTGTTGCTTCGAACGGAAACTTCGAGTTCGGTCGCTTTTAAAGAGCACTAGTGCGCTCTGCAACACTAAACCCCCACCGGAATCTGTCAAGGTAGAGATTTCCCAGAAGCTGGCATCTCTTCATCTCTCTTTGGATGCAATTTATCCATATCCACCTTTAAGCTGATTTATCTTGATCCGTATCAATAATATACTCGCATAGTTTAACAGTAATTAGAATAATAAAACTAAATCCAATCGATGAATAATTTTCCTCTCTGTAAAATTATGTTAATGGGCGCTAATTTCCTCACATCGCATTCATCATATAAGTCAATGCGGCAACACTGCACGAATAGAATCAGGCGCCAATATGATCGTGGTCGATGGAAACGTTTCCGACCAATACCGGAATCTTGCAGGGAATCCAGCTTCAGAAGCTGCGGCGCTACCAGCCGGAAGCAATCTGCGCTATCTGGTGGCATTCCGGAACTTGAACCCATGCTCTAAGCTTTGTTCCGGGCAGCACCCTCAATCCTCCTCTCTGGTCACTTTAATTCCTTGCTGGATTCGTGAATATTCCATAAAATATTCACGCCCGCTTGATAGCATCTCTCATTCCACGTGTGAACTTCCCTGCTGATTTTTTTTCAGAGGAGTACAAAACCTCTCCCTGATCGTGGATTGAACGTCAAACGTGATTTCCGGAAATCCAGTCATAAAGCGTGTGGAGCACTATGGAACTTATTTTCTACCAATACGATGTGGGCTCTTAGTTCCGATGGGAATTTTCATTTTGTTGTAAATAAGTTTTTATTATACGTCCTTAAGCAATATTTCATGAAGTTTAGCGATTTTCTGAATAGGAGGCATTATCAATCATTATGGTTTATAACTCTTCGTTCCCCGAAGGAAATAACGTAAATTAATTCCAAAGCTGCAAAATTGACGCAAACAATACAATATTTTACAAGAATATACCTACTCGTGCAATTTTAGTTCCATTTTGTTTTGTTTTTTTACATGAAATTGAAATAAAGATCAGTAAAATTTTCAGTTGGAAATTCCCAAGAATCTCCTGGTAAATATGCAGTTTGCGAGAGGAAGTTTGGCAATACTCAGATAAAGTTACGTTCTTTTGCGAGGGAAACGCCGAACTTTAGTAATATTTCGCTTATCAGACTTATTTGTTTTAGACTGGCTTATTTTGTTATTAGTTTGGAGGCTTTTTAAATTGGAATACTTACTTTACAAATGAAAATTATGAATTTTTCCGTTTTATATTTTTAAATACAACAATGTTGTGGTAAGTCACGTCATATCAATGAGTTTTGGTCGCATTGAAAATTTCGTCCTGCAATTTTCAAAGTAGAACCGAGTGCCTATTGTGGGTACCTAACGAAATTATCTTGCATTACATTCGCATGACACCTAAGATTTGAAGGATTACCTCTCAGTGGCGAGGCGTGAATGATCGATTATCGATAAGTTTCCATTTGAAGCTGTGGTAAATAATCGATTATTTAAGTGTCCGTTGCGAACACCCTGTTTATCGATCCTTTTCCAAATGGCAGATCAGTCTAAATATCGCAAGACTTCTTTGTTACCGTTCCGAATGAAATGTGAAACATTTTTGAGAAGAGAGTAAATTAATTTAAATATTACTCTGCAACTGGAAATGAGACGCATTGATAGATTGGCTTTAACGCACGAGCAAGAACTAGAAATATTAAACGCAAGAGGAAATCTATGAAAACTTTGATGTATGAAAAAGTAGATCGAAATAAAACGAGGAAAATCATCTAAGTAATTTACCCCCTCGTCAATTTGTTGCATACATGAGACAATTCACTCTAGTTTGATTATAGACGAGGAAAATGTTGTCAAGTCAAAGTTAATTCGCAATTTTTTTTTCACTTAAACTGAAGCATGCACGACTAACGAACGTGTACTGTCAATTTGAGTTCGTAAGGCATAGTACTAGGAAAAAGTCTCTAACAACATTTGGATTGATTCAAGACAGCCTAATTACATTTGGACTAAATTTTGGACCATTTCTGGCTCAAACATAAAGGCACTTATCTGCATAGAGAAACCAATGGTGCATGTGGTGTTTCTCGAATAAGCCCGAAATAGAAGTTCCTCATCGTAAAATGTAGTCCATTTTTTACCACCTAATCCCTTTTTATATTTTTTGGGGCAATAAATTGAACAAAATGCTGCATTGAAACTTTTGATGAATTTACCTTGGATTTTAGAGAAAATAGACACAAAAATGTAATTATGTTTGTTGTTTGGTCTTCGCTCAGGGAAAAAATGAAAGATGAGAAAAAATTTGGCAATGTCTTATGTAGTTAGATTGTTTCTAGTTTAATGCGTTTACTTGACAGTCCTGACTTGACGCGATGTCGTCGGTTGATTGATTGCGCGGTTGTCGCCAATTTTCCTGCTTACGTTTCTTCAAAGGGCATACTTAGCCCCCCCCCCTCCTCCCATCAATCATTGATTACCATTAATCATTATCATTATGAGAAAGATCTTCTACTTGCTGCGGTTCGATATCTAATTACAAAGATATCCCTTGAAATAAATCTGACGGAAGCAACTGCTCTCCAAACCACGGCGAGTAGAGCGTGCCTGCCAATCTGCGGAGAGGCGACAGTGGACCAACAGACAGCCATGGAGAGGGAATGGTCGTTGCTCTTACAGTGGTCACAGTGACTTTCAGGTCCTCCATTCCCATTCAGTGGCGTGGCGTGCTTTTCGATGTATCGATGGATCCGTCATTCAAACCTATGGAAAAGAATCGATAAATAGGATGTTCGCAGCGAACACCTTAATAATCGATTCTTCACCATAGCTTCAAATATACCGATAGATGTATCGATGATCGATCATTCACGCCGCGGTACTGGTTCCATTACTTTGACGCGTATGATCTATTTTTTGCGAAACAGTCAATGGAAGGCGGACACCGATCTGCACGAGAGGTCTACCGTGCTAAGGAAAAACGCCGTATAAACATTCGAGAGTTGCCAAATCTCCTCCGATAAAATGTTTCTTTGAAAGAAATTGTATGAATAGTTTCTCCTGAAATTAACAGATACTTAAGATATGATCGCCAATAAAATAATCTGAAAAATTAGGAGAAAAGTAAACGTGAATTTTTTCTGAAAATTCAAATTTTATGAATGAAAAGGCAACGGCTTATGGCTCTTACGGCGCTCTTCCTTAGCACGGCAGTGATGGTGCCATGACATTACTCCAGGACAACGACGAGGAGAGTGTTATTATTCTCCTGTGGTTCCCGAAAAACTAAACTTTGTAACCTCCTTTATCTATTTAGCTGTTTTAACTTGTTTTTCCTCACCCTCTAATTTCTTCAATTTCAACCAAATGTATGAAGACTCCAGTTTTGCAATCAAAGCAAATCCAATCTTTAAAAATGACTGGAAGACCAATCTAAGTACTTGTTAGATACGCGAGAAAGTTCTCAATATGACGTATTTCTGCTAAACGGAACCAGAGACATGTGGGAAAGCAGGGGTGTGCTCGTTAGTTGAAGGTCGTAGGAGTGAATGGGAACTACAATGCGCCAGTGACGTCAGCGGCGACGAGGAGATCGTCGGGATCGAGATCGGGGCTCTTTAACTCATGAGCCCTGTCCACAACGCTGTTGGGACATGACCGTGGCTCATGAGTTAGCATACAGTTGGCGCTTAGTACCATTTGACTTAGTGTAAAATCCCGCTTTTCCATTTCCCCAAAGGGAATCTCGCCCATTTTACATTGTTTCTTATGCAGCTCACCACGAGCACATCCCATGTTTCCCACCTGTCTCCGGTTCCGTTAAGTAGAAATACGTCCAATTTTGGAGCATAAACTTAGAGGTTCTTATGTTTTCAAACTCACCAAGTTCCTTGTTTCCATTGAATAAGTTGTCAAACTGGAAGTGAAGTCTACGGGGCTTAAGATCCATCCCGAATTTGGTCAATTTCAGGAATCGGTTGCCTACCTTGTCGACTGCCTTTTCGCCTTGAATCCTCCAGGTGACTTTGACATCAGCTAAAATGTAACCAAAGAAGAGAGCAAATTTAGGAATTGCAGCCTCCACAAAACAATAAATACAAATATCCAATGGACCACTAGACAAGGTACGAATTTCAACATTCTGATACGTGTTTCTTCACCAAAATTTCACGTAGAACACGATGCGCACAACGAATATTACCGAAATCAATTCCTTCCGAAGTTATTAACGATTCTTGGTGCGTGAATTGAAACGACCCGCTCATGAAAACTCAATGCTCTACGTGATTCACGTCGCTCGTGAACGTTATCATGAACATCTCTGCGATGAAAACATCTGGCAACCTTAAACTTGACACTTTGGCTCAGCAGTAGCAAATTACTTATAGTTTGACAAACACATGGTGGGAAATGAACATTGCTCGATTGAGAAGATTGCTGAAACCGTTGTAGTGCGCGATTTGACTCACGTAGAGCTTTGAGTTTCTTGAGAGCGGGCAGTTCAAATTCCTCGCAACCAATGTGAAAAAAAATGTTAATAGCTTTGTTAGGAGTTGGTCTCAGTAATTTTCGTTGCGCGAATCGTGTTCTACGTGAAATTCTGGTTAAAATACATGTATCAGAATGCTTAAATTCGTACCTTGTCTAGTGGTCCATTCTATAATATAACGCATAACGCATAACGCGTGAAGCGCGAAGCGCTTCGAGAGGTGACTGCGAAGCGGTCAGTTTAATCAAAAGCGCTGTGCAGTTTTCATAAAATTGGCTCAGTTTTAAATTATAAACAAACTTAACAAATGAATTGTAAATAATGCATTCAATTTATAAATGAAAACTGACATGTATTAGCGTCGGTTAAGAGGGGATGATGATAAATCTTTCTCAGTAATGACGCATATGAACTTCAGATCGACGGTGAAGCTGCAAAATGCGTATCTCGTTTCCTGTGTTTCAAAATCTTCGTTCTAAGTTTTAAAAAAAAGTAGACCCAACCGACATCATGACTTAGACTTGTCACAGAATGTTCTTCTGATCCTCAAAGTTTTCAAGAAGTAATGTTTGGGGGATTTCATGAAATGAAGGATGACAGGAAGTTTGCAACGCTATAAACCGAGGTACGAATCATTGCAGTTATCGATATGATCAAGTCTCTCTAAATCAAATTATTTCAAACCCATACCCAAGTTCAGAGCTGATATTAGAACCGAGGTAAGGATGCTGTATGAGGTGAAATATTGACCTAGCTATATAACCTCAGTTGATGCTGTACATCAACTATCACCAAGCCATCAACAATAATTGGCGAGGTTTACGTAAATGAAAAGTACCAACTAGTTGTGTATAACGTCGATTTGATCTGGATGGAGAAAGCCATACTACTGGTTCAGATTGTTAACATCTTTGTCAGTGTGTTTGCTCACATACTGAGATTTCAGCATGATATATCATACATATCACCTTTATATTTTCATTTAAGACAGTGAAATATGTATCGCACGTATCAATCTATAGCATAATTACTCATAAAACTCTGATTTGTAACCCCATCCCCCATTCAAAACGTTTACAGATAGATTTATTCATTTAAAGTTATATTTAAACATGACACTTGAAACAAATTTGGGTGTCTTAAGACATGAGCCCTCCTGTTAGGTGGGTATTCAACGAGCAAAGCAACTTACTCAGATTAGCATGTCCGTGACCTTTACCCATGACCGGAATCATGACAATTTTACCGTTCACATCGTACTGCCCGTCGATTTCGTAATGCGGGATGGTGAAAGTTATGTTGAACTTGTACTTCTCAGGAACCACACTGTAATATAAGTGAAATTCACTCTTTAATCATCGTGTAAATGAGAGAAGAAAGTTAGTTAAGCTGATCAAAAGGTGTCGATTGCGGATGAAAAAAAATGCATTTCTCAATTTGCAATTTTTTTAAAACCTGCATATTTTTGCGTTTTTAGCTACAAGAATTTTTACGTTAAAGTCTCGTAATTTTAAGGGGGTATGAAAACCATTCTATGTGGATTATAGAAAAAAAGGATTAGTTTTCTTAATGTAAACAATAGTCCAAACAGTCGAATGCAACTATTCGTGTTCAACGAGTGTATTTGTTGCATAAACAGAAGTTTGAAGGCGGTTTGATGTGTCCAGGAAAGGGCTGTCTCTGAGTTAACTTACTACGCGATACAACGTCTATAATGACGCTTGTACTTATGAAGCGTCAAAAAAGGATGAGTTGTTTTTTTTTTTGTTTTTTTTTGGTCTTTTTTAGGTTACTTTTAACGTAGATATTACATAGCACCTTCAATTATGAAATGAAGTCATACGCTTCCTTCAACAAGTTTTGCTGGGATCACCAAATTAGAATAGGAAAATGGCAAGTTTTCAGCGACCGAAAGCTTTAAGACACCATTCGACCATGTTTATTATCTATTACATAGAAGTATCTCCCTTATAACATATGGTAAAACCAAATAGAAGCCTTCGGTTATCTACAATTTCATTACCGATCAATGAATTTGTTGTGAGCATAATTTTAATATTTTTCTTTTATCACGATGTAAGTATCGTCATGGTCGGAGAAGGCTTAAGACCGTTTTTAAGTTCTTTTAAAAATGGGAATCTACATGCAATGCAGGAAAACTACTTACTCAACATTGGTAACTTTGGCGTAACTCATTCCTGTGTGAGTGGCGTTGATTAAAGTGAGTCTCAGGGACATTGCATCACCGTCTCTGCCCTGATTCATGGTCATTTTTTCAACGTACATCGGGTCAATTTTAGTAATACCTACTTCTTTGACTCCTAAAATTAAGAAAAGTCATATAATTAGCCTATGTTTTTAATGACTGCGATTGTTGTTAAAAAAAATTAACTTTTTAGTTTATTTTCAATTGGAAAAAACACAGAGTCAAAATTAAAAAAACCTTTTATACTAGACCTAATCAATGCCACACCGAAAAATTGTATTTCAAATTTAAATTTCTTCGCTGAGAACGTAGGATGTATGCTAATTCTTGTAACTTACTCTTGTACCTCTCATAAATGCTCTCATTCACTTGGTTTACTGAAAATATTTCACATTTAAAGCTAAACAATCTTAGCAGGTTGATTAACTCTCCTGAAAGTAAAGAATAGATCAAACCTAACAAGTTTAGCAAAAAAATTGTCACAATCCCACTTTAATTTTGGAGAAGAATCTATGATGAATCAATGATTTCAAAATGCATAGCATCAGTAGGAGCAAATCTACATATATTTTAAGCAAGGCTCGCCTGTGAAAAACGATTAATTTTTCTGAGGAGCTTCTAAGAGTTCTTAAAGGTTCTAAGAGTGAGATTATCGACAAGAACTTTGAATACCGTTAGGAGCCTACACAAGTTAAAGTTCCTTGAAGACACAAAGACAATTTTTGGTAAAACCACACTCACATGCATAAAAAATTGTTTTTAAAATAACGGGACGCGTTTCGGGGCCTTAGCTCCCATAATCAGCCGCGACTAAGCGGAACGCGTCCCGTTATTTTGAAAACAATTTTTTACGCAAGTGAGTGTGGTTTTACCAAAAATTGTCTTTGTGTTTTTATCGATAAGAAGTTCACACTCGATCGGAAAATAATTTTGACGATATGATTTGATCTTTAGAGGGATTCAGATAAAAAAGTACCGCACAATACCGTCAAAATTCATCATTTGCATAACAAAAGAAACAAAAAAGAAAATTTTTTTCGAGGTTCGTGTCCGACTAAAAAGCTTTGTCACTCTTCAATTGTGCCAGGTGAGCTTGCTTGGGTGACCATAATTTTTTTAGCTCCTTTTTTTATGATCTCTCGCTCGCTCAAACCAGACTTCATTCATCAATTTTTCTCTCAAGCTAAAAAAACATCGCGAACTGTTACATGAAAGTCATGGTTACAGGTATATGATCATTTTTTCTCTCGTAAATCTTAGCAAATTTTTTGTTCCATCTTCAGCTATCTTTCCACTCGAAGATGGTAAAAAAGGGACGACAGTTTTTGAAAGTCTAATTGAATAAGATAGGGTGAGTGTGTGTGTGTTTTTCTCTTCACTTTTAAATTAATTATTTATTATTAATTATTATTAATTATTATAATTAATTATTTTCTTCCAGTAAAAGGCTGTGTTACGTATTTACCTGTCCTCATCAGGTTGAAAATTTGTTGCCATGCGGATTTGACACATTGCCCGAAGGCCTGGTCGTTTACGGGACATGGAGCAATGTACTCGCCTGAAAAAAAAGAAAATATACGTTAGGTCATTGTTAGGTAAGCCTTAAAGGGCGCGTCTAAATTCAATAAACAAAACTGATGTAGTTCGAAATTAAGGAGGCCTTCCACCAAAACGGTACAAATTATATAAAAGCAAACGCTGTAGAAAGATTTTGCATTCCGTCAACATATAGAGGTCTCGACGCCCCTAAAAACTCTCAAGGGTCCTTTCCGGAAAAAACGTTTTTTGAAAAATTTGAGTCTCTAAAGAACCCGTGGTCAGTTTAAAGTAAATTAAAAGAGGTCGTTTTCGGATTCAATAGCAAAATTTATTTGGTATTAGCTCCATGTGGCGTTTAGAATAAGAATTTTAGCCTTCTTTTTAACCGCAAAGCAAGCAGATACAAAGTATTTTTGATAAATGCAAGGGTTAGGTAGTTTGGTTATAGAAACTGTGTTATTAGAAAGTTCGGAATAGTCCAATTACATTGTAATTGAGGGGTGTGGAGGAAAAGGCGGATGAGTGCAGTTTTTGAAAAATTTCAGATCGTAAAGATTTCAAGTAAAACTAGTCAGAATGCATATTCTGTGAAAAATTTGCTTCCAAATTCCAAATTTTTAGCATCGAAAAGTCAGTTTGAACTTTCTTTTCGCCACAAGGATCCATGAAATTTCGAAACTTTAGACACGTATTTCTCGAAAGAGCAAAAACTGCACTCATGTGCCTCGTCCTCCAAGCCCCTCAATAATTGTTTGTCCCATATTGCCACACAAAAAGACTAAACCACTCGTAACTAAATGGACATATTTATGCCAAAAGGCACTTTTTGAACATGGATTAGATCATAAAGAACTATGTGCATAGGATTTGCGTCGTTCATTGTTTCTTTAAATTTTAATCAAATTTAATGTTTACATAGTTCAATTTAGCATAGAAATGTCAAAGTCTTCCATCAAATTCTCGAATTCTGATGAGCGCCAAAAATTACTACTGAAAATTTCGTTTTCGCAGGTTGATGTCTCTTTTTCTGAAGACGGCTACACATTTTGATGGGAAAAGAGGCGAAACAAGCATCTCGATTTGTGACTTTGTAGCTTTGTTTACAACATTTTATCTTTTCAAAAGAAATACGACGACCCCCATTTCTTGGCAAATTCGTTGAGTGTTTTTCATATTAAGTAAAATACTCTATAAAAATTCTAAACAGAAATTTCATCATTTTTTTTTTTACAAAAAAGGAAGAGAAAAAACATTGGAGGTATTAAGACGTGGCAATCAAGTTACGTGTTATCCGTAATATTTACTGCATTTTGTTTATCTTGCAAAGAATATTCTGTGAGATTTTTAAACAAAGAATTCCTATCGATTTTTTCTTTAAAAAAAAAAAAAAAAAAAAAAAAAAAAAAAAAAAAAAAAACTAAAAGAATAGAGGATATTCTGAAATATTTCAACCGAGGTACGCGTCATGCGGCATATTCACTGAAATTTTTTTAAAAAAAATGATGCTTATTGATTTTTCTTCGAAAAAATGAAAAAGGACAGCGGGGATGTTGACACATGCCAACCGACAAACATTTTCTTTGACTTTAACTTTCGATTTTTTCCTTCACTAAAATAATGCAAGGGTGTACTCACTGTATTTTGAGACGGCCGCATCGGCAGGGACAGAGGAACACAAAACGTAACCTAAAATGATGAGGGCTATTTGCCCGTAGTGCCGCGTAGATTCGGACATCGCGAAAGGGTTGGAAAAACGGACCGCACTGAAAGTGAAAAGTAAAGGGAGACGAGGATGTTTTTCTGATCGTGGCGAGTGCTGAACTCTGCATCAATTAACACGTCAAGCGTTTTATACGTAAAAGTCGCGTGGAAATAAAATAAACACACAGGAAGTTCGATCGGGTTTGGAAAACCTTGAGCGCGCCGCACCGCGCTGAAGCCACCGCCGCGCGCCGCGAAGCCGGGGAAAAGGCTGCTTTGCAACTTATCGATTGATCTGCCATTTAAAATGATGGAAAAGGATCGGTAAACAAGAGATTTGCCGCGAACACCTTTTAATAATCGATTCTTGACTACAGCTTCAAACGGGGCAATATCGATAATCGATCATTCACGCCTCGTCACTGGTTTAAAACGCGCGTCACGTGAACGCTGGACTTTCAGCTAGACGCTGAAAAAAAAATGCAGATTTTTTTTTAAAAAAAAATTATCATTTTAATAGATTATTTAAATCTATGGTGCGACTCGAATCGAGCTGTTTATTTTTTAGAAGTAAAGTACGTTCAACGGCAGCTATTGTGTGGCGTCACAAATTTGACCCAAACACTAATATAGCCCCCGATACTGCTGTGCTAAGGAAGAACGATATATGAGCCCTTAAACGTTGCTAAATTTTCTTTGAAAAATCTCGAATTATCAGTGAATTTGTAGGGATTTTTCTTCAGATTTTTCGGAGAATTCTGTTCGTAATTTGATCTGAAGTGTCTAAAAATTTCTTGGAAAAATTTTCATGACTTTCTTTAAAAATAAATATTTTCTGAGAGGAAGTTAGGCAGCATTCGAGTGCTCATATTGCGTTCTGCCGTAGCGTGGCAGAATAACAAGTTTAAATCCATACTATAAAAAAATTGGTGAAAATGGAGCGGATCTTAATTTAAATTTAAAATTTCTCTTGAAAATATAAGAAATGGGGTAATATATCTCATTAAGATTCTACTGAAATTCTAAAAGTGGAAACTTGGAAGGCATTGACACCACATTCCAACTGGAAAAGAGGAGGAGCGGGGGAAAGTGGCAAGTAAAGGGCCGATCTTTTAGAGTAGCGTAACAATCGTAAACTTCCGAGTGAAAGCACAACACTTTCGGGAATCACTCTCCACCCTACTGAGACTTGCATGGGACTGCATTTTGAAACTAATGTAGGAACCACAATTTCTGGCTCATTGTCAGCTTAGAAACAAAGTATGAACCTTTACTTTCTCTATGCACATAAGTATTTGTACGAATGAGCTAGAAATTATACATCCAACTTTTATAATCCGGTCCAATTAGATATAGACCAAGAAACCCCGAGTCTCCTTTTGAATTTTTTGTAAATTCCGAACAATCCTTGTGCGTGCATACTATGTACTCACTATTTTCAAGGCAGGATGATGAGGAATTATTTTAGAAACAAAAGCTTAAGGTATTTGTCAGGCTTTACGGTAAGCAGTAAGGGTTACTATATCGCTGGTCAAAGTGCAAAACGATGTATCTCCATGGCTATGTTTGATTTCCGCTATTGTTTTATGGTTTCAAAGAAAAAAAGCTAACTTTATATCTTGAAATTTATACAGAATATTCTGCTGACAGAGAGGCAAAATGTAGGAAGTTTTAATGAAATTTTTCACACAAAAAATGAAGTATGATAGAAAAGCTGCAAACGTCGCAAATGGAGATACGTGGTTTTGCACTTTGGCCATCGAGATGAAAGTCTAATGACAGGAAACAATTACGGGTGACCAAAAGTTGTGACCTACAAAACTGTGCGAAAATGATTTTAAATATGGTTGCCGGACTCTTTACCCAATTTTGTTTGGACCAATGTTTTTATGGTTCATTTTCAAGTTTGTCCAATAGTTTTCTGAATGTTTGTTGATGTTTTTTGAACCAATAGTTTACTTACAATTAGTCCAGAATCAAGCAATGATAGAAGTGCTGAGATTCCGCCAAATAATGAAATTCAACCCTTAGCTGCCCAAGCTGGGTCAAACTGACCCCAGGATTGCTGAAAACACGTGCCCCGCGGGTTTTATGTGGCTATTACATCCGAACTTTAGATGTAAGTATACAAATATATCTTAATAAAGAATTATATGTCAAATTTAAGAAAAAAGGGAAAATATCAAATATCAGAACATCCGATGGTAGAAGAGACCTTTTGCGTCTGGCTTTTTTTTAACTTTTCCCCGAACCAGAATGACAGTTCATTAGCAGCCTAGGACGGAACATCGCGACCTCATGCCTCACGCCAAAGCGCCTCCAATTTTGCAGACGCAACGTGGACATCCGTCAAGCACGAATAGTTGTATCCCTGCGCCGTCATCAACGTGCAACCTTTCTCTTGCTCTATTTCTACGTTTTGTTGGTTCCTTCTGTCTTATTTGTAGTAGTGCTTCAAGGGCTATGTGAGTAAAATAGCCGAAGATAGGAGAGATGTAATCGGGCCTTTTTTAAAAACTTTTCTCCCGAATCATAGCGACACCTCATTGGCAGAATAAAGCGGAGCGTTGCGAGTTCACACCTCACGCCATCGCGCCTTCAATTTTGCGAATGCGACACGGACATCCATCAAGCACGAATAGTTGTATCTCTGCACCGTAATCAAAAGTGAGTCCTTCCTGTCACTCTATCTCCATGCTGTGTTGGCTCCGTTTGTCTTGTTTTCAGCGGTGCTTAAAGAGCTACGTGAGCAACACAGCCAAAATATAACTTCAATTTTTTTTGGCCAAATTAGGTATCGGGTAAAAAAAATTGGGTGAAGTGTCTAGCTACCTAAAATATACGTCACTGCTTACATATCTTTCCTTCTATCTTGGAGTATGTAAGCTAATATGGCAACTGAAGGGGTTAAGAGTTTGAGTCAGAAATGTGGATTTTTCATTTAGTTAATCTGCGAAATTGTCAAGTTTCAAAAACATTCGTGATAACAGTGTTATGATAACAGAATAGCACATGAATCGAATGAACTAAAATTTGACGGCTGGATGACTTTGGAGGAGGGGAGATGAGGGACTTGAAATCACACATTTTCCACGTAGACCACGAGTAAGTGGCAAAATCATTCCAATTTTTTGTTTATTTTTGTTTTATTGGTGTTGCAACACCAGGATGGTATCTAAATCCATATATTAACATAGCGAGAGATGAGGAACAATACTGCCTAACTGACGATTTCGGCGAAAATGACTTATCAGCTTTGCCGCATTCTATGTTGCTGTGAAGACGCTGTAATGTTCAAAAAAACTGCAAATCTAACTGAACAATTATAAAAATGGCAATTTTTTTTGTGTTGTTTTTGGTTTATGGTTTTTGGTCCATACATGTTGGAACGTAGTCAGACAGTGGCTATGCCCGAAACGAGAAGAAGGTGCATTTTTTAACATATTCGTATGTGAAAATGAAAGATTCACAGAGTACGGAAATTAATTTCTTATATTCTAATTAATACATTTTTAACTAAATTCGTAATATGTTTATATGATTTTAGTACTATTTAATGATACATTACTTAACATTAAATATGGTTTTTCTTCGTCTTGCAAAATCTTTAGTATTGTTTCTTAGCCATCAAGAAGCTGAATTTGTTGAGAGCAGGTTCCTTTGGTATGAAAACCCAGAACCTAATTCGGAAGAAAATCAAGATGATAAAAAAACGGAAGTGAGGAGGTAGAATGCTTCAAATAAGATCATATTTGAGAGCCATTTGCACTTGGTCCATTTCTCAAACATCAACAGCACATCTCTTAAGCTATTACAGTAACACGGGGCCGATAAGTCGTCTCCGATTTTCGATAAGAGAGGAGTGGGCGAGTATGACCCGATTACTTGCTCCACCTTCAAATGATTTAGGTTGCTCCGGTGCCGCCCAAAGCTGAAACAAAGGCAAAAAATATTATTCAGGCAAAATTAAAAAACTTTTTTGCGTTCCTCAAAGAACAGATTATATCAGGTAAAGGTTGGTAAAAAAGAAGAGCAAAAAATTCTCGAAAATGGACAGAAATTCAGAAAGAAACAGTGTAATGTTCTCAAGAGCGAGCGGTGTGTGAGCTTTCTCTAAATACAATTAGGTGGTGGGTGAAAGAAGGGCGTGGATAAGAAAATGATAAATTGAGAGAAACACGTTTGAAGCTTTAAAACGTTGCCAATTTAATCACCATGCATTTTAAATTATGATTTTCTACCCTGGTAAAAATTGGCAGTCGAATCTGTGTTCCAAAATACCATAGACCTACAGCCGGCTGTAAGATTTCCAATAGCTTATATAGCCGGCCCCACAATTTCTCATAGCCTTTTATAGCCGATGGCGACTAAGCAACAGCCTGGAGATAAGGTGTATGCTAAACGTTACTAATTACGGATGCTAGGACTTAGTGAGTTTTTGGACTAATACCGCTCTCTTTTTGGGCCGCAGTATCTTGATTTAATTTGCGAGGAAAGCTCCGTACTTTTGAAGGATGCCTGCCGTTCTTAATATGTTGGAGCGTCTTCAATTTCGTATGATACTGTGCAATACCTCTGGTGTGAAATAGTTGCTTCAAGCGCCGCGGTACGCTGCGGCGCGGCGGGCGGGCAGGCAGCGCTGAACGCGCACTGGCGCCTACAAACCTAACAGGGATACTTCACGCGTTGCGCAATGCGTGAAGTATCCCTGTTAGGTTTGTAGGCGCCAGTGCGCCGCCGCTCCGCTTTGTGTTAGGCTCTAATATTTAATATCGCGGAGTCAGCGTTTTTCAACTCATGACTTTGAAATGTTTGCACACTCTGTATGGATTATTCTCATTTTAATTTATGAAAAAAAATATGTAGTAAAGGAAAATATAATGTGCGTTTTGTAAATATTAAGGTGATTCCATAAAAACTTAAGAATTTACAAAGCACAAGAATTTGTACACAATTTCTTATAGCCTTTTATAGCCGAAAGCCAATAGCAACAGCCAGGCGATAAAGTGTAAAGTCCGGCGATAGGAACTATAGCCCGGCTGTATAATTTTTTATCGCTTCGTGTAGCCCGGCCGTATGATTTTTTCCACTTTCTACAGCCAGCTATATGATTTTCTATCGCCCTCTTCAGTCGGCTATAAGAACTCCTATGGTATTTTGAAGCGCAGCTCCTATCACCAATTTTTACCAGGGTAGTGTATTATCTCGGGGAAATACACTATTCAGTAATGATAAAACATATTTTGCAAATGAGATAAATCCCAAAAAATAATTCCAAAGCTTTTTCGGTAACTGGTCTAATTAGGTGGTAAGTGGCTTGTAACAGCAACAGCTTGTCGTAAACGTCTATGCAAAGGAAAGAAGATTCAGAGCGCCTTCAATTTTTTTGATGCAACACGCATATCCATAAAGTGCGAATAGTTGCATCCAGGCTCTATGATCAAACGTTACGGTATGCGGTGCCTACTGCAGTTGCGGCTGAATGCGCCTAACACTCGGTTTCATTGAATTGTGTTTTTCAGTTGTAAATGACGCATCAGGAAAAAGTAATAAACCCAAAGTTTACACATCAAGTATTCGCGGGATGAAGTTTATCGGAAATGCAGTTCTGGATATGATAAAGAATTGTTCAATTCCCAACTTTTACAATAAGTTTTAAACAAACTCCGATGTGCGTTTTCGCCGAGATTTACGCTTTTCCCGAAAGTGCGTCCTTCATTTCTAGCGCCTGAAAAATGCAAATTCCCCTAAGGTCTGCTTACATTCGATCTTCATAGCCGTAGGAAAGACCTGCAATTGGTAAACCAATTAGAAAGTGGCGCAAGCATGGCAATACGCTGTCTTCGTAGATGTTCTATCGCAAATTTTCTCGTCGCTGATATTGATGAAATTCCGGTGGAAGAAACCATAGAATGCTATACTGCGGTAGATGACGTGTGTTCGTATGTTTTTCGATGTGTGATATTGCCTTACGGACGGATTTCATTTCATTATTTATGCAATTTGTAAGCCTCAAGCATCAAAACACGATTCTATGACGTGAGCGACTGACCCATCCCGTCTGCAAATGAAATGCAATGATCTCCCAATATTGATCTAGATGAGAGTCGCGAGAGGTTCAGGAATGAGAGATGAATAGAATGAAAATATGACATGCGCAGTGAAAACATACTTCTTTCCCTCTTCCTCATTCCAGCAGATTATTTTATCTAATAGCAACATCTCTGCTGGCTGGGTATTGCCACTTTGCATAAACAATCTAAAAGCTCGAATTCTTTTACGGCAATAAGGGCGGCGTACCAGTGGCGTGGCGTGCTTTGCGATATATCGATTGTTCTGCCATTTAAACCTATAGAAAAGGATCAATAAACAGGGTGTTCGCAGCGAACACCTTTATAATCGATTCTTTACCATAGGTTTAAAAGGCAGAGCAATCGATACATCGCAATTCACGCCACGCCACTGCGGCGTACCTTGTGCGTTTGTCGTAAAAGAGTTCTTTTAATGTGATTTTCTAATAATATTTGAATTTAGTGGAATCATTTGAAGTATGTAGAGTATCTTGACAAAGAGTGTCGTCGTGTGGCTGTGAATTTTGATAGTTCTGCCATCTTGAGCTTCATGGAGCTCTTAGGACCCAAAAATGACGAACGCTGGGAGTAAATATTACTACAAAATGACTTAAAATGTAGTTTTATTTGCATATTGCAACGAGAAATTTACCCAAATGTATTATTACGACGTATTTGCAAAGTTTTACGGCTGATCGTGTGCTATTTTCGAGAAAAATCATCTTGAAAGTAGGAGGGTAGGTAGCAGGTGCGGTTGGTGATAACCGTCAAACATTGGCAAGAGCCCCCCTCCAATACTCACAAACCAAAACAAAGCTCCGCCATTTCTGGGTCTTAAGGCCTCTATGAAAAGAGGAGGGGCGTCATATCCATACTCAGTAATGTACCGATATGGTCGTTTTTGGACCTTAACGTAAGCAACCCATCATATGTAGAATGAAATGTGCATAGATTATTATTTACTAAAGATCTGGAGTTCTGCCAGTACTACACATATTATAACTGGCACCGTATGATATTGATAAAAATCCATCGTGGATACGGAATTTACCGATTTTAATTGTCATGCTGTTGTGGGTGGAAACTCCCTTTGCAAATTATTATAAACTTGGTATTGCATAATCTCGATAGTTCTTTGATGAGACGCAGTAAGGTCTCAAGTTGTGGTGTGAATTGCATGAAACTCTCTCATCTCTGGAGCTTGAAACAATCGAACGTTGACTGTCTCGAAGACGGAAATGTCGAATGGAAACGAATGAAAATAAAGCAGTTTGTGAAGTAAGCGCATTGCTCTACGGACCGATTGATAGGAAAGGGTTGGAGAGGAAGAAAAATGAGTTTAATTAGGAACAGGAATTATTCTTAACCCTTAGATGCCTAGGTCGTAGGCAACGTAGAGAGGTAGAAGCGGTTGGTTTGAAACAAAGCTTCGACTTACACCTCCTTCGTTGAGTTAGCAGGTGTCTCTTAAACGGGACTGAGTACCTAAGTTTTGACTAATTTAATTGGACAAATCATGTTTACGAAAGAAAAGAATCGTGTCGATTTTCTGGAATTTTATAGAATTTGTTTTATGCTTCAAAAAAAAAATACCTTTAAATTCTATAAAGAATAGGAGCAACCGCTCTCTTCTGAAAAAAGAGAACGGTCCATAGGAATTTAGTAACGGCTGCACTTAGTCACTTAGTTTCTTTTCAAGAAATACTATGCCTTTACAGTTAACACTTATATGTATCTCTTTTTCATCCGTGTTGCTTTTATTTGTGTGACACGCGAACCAAATAGGTACATGCCTCCTCTGCCGCGCTAAGGAAGAACACTGTATCAGCCTTCAGAGGTTGCGAAATTTCTTTTGAAAAAAATATGACTTTTCAGTGAAAACTGAGAATGTTTTTCTTCGCATTTTTCAGAGAATTCTATTCGCGATATGATCGAAAAAAATTTCAAGCGAATAATATTTATAACTTTCCTTATAAATTAACATTTAATGAGGGGTAAATTTGGCAACTCTCTAATGTACATATGAAGTTCTTTTTTAGCATGTCAGCACGGAGAGACTATTTACATATTGAGCTCAAGCTTTCCTCGAATGACCTAATGAGTATTTATTGGATTTGCATGTAGTGGCACTGTTTGAAGAAGGTGTACGCAAAATGCAGATGTCTTGGGTCAATTGCAAAACGCGGAAAATGTCCAATATCGTGCATTCCTAGACAAAGTAATTAGAAACGATGCTGGCTTGAAGCTAACAAGGAAAAACGGTCCGTTATCTCTCGTATTATTTAGTATCATTATGACGATATGAATTGGAACATTGTAAGTACTTGCGGTTATGCAGTGATGCATTCATTCATGCAACAGAAGTTCATGTAATGAAAAATTATTTTCAGCAGTAAATACTTAAAACGTCCTCATTTTGAATTGTAATTTCTATATCCCAAGACGAAAATTAGTTTTACCGTTCAGGTATTGGCATACAGGTGCAACCCAATATTTTTCATCCCGATTTTTTTAGTGCTCTTTAATTTGGAAGCAGTTGGTGGTCTCTTTCGCTGCCTATCTTTCTGTAAAGAGTTAGTATTTTTCATGACTATTTCCTATTGCCAAGACAAGAAGCAGTGATCGCGATAAGTTCGATCTGAGAATGTATCGTGATTTTATTTTATTAATTTATTTAATTTAATATTATTTTATTTAATTGCAGTATCAGTAGATAAAAAATTACAAAAATTGCGATTCCGTAAAATTTTGCAATAAAATCGCGATTTTATTGACGGCGAGTTATCGCAATATGATCAAACAAAAAATCGTGGTAAATAATTGAGATACAATTTCGATTTTATCGCACGCGATAGCAAAGAGATAAAATTGCCGCAAAATTGAGGATGTTCACTCAGATGCTGATAATCATGGCGATTTTATACCCAAAAATCGTAAAGCAATTGCAACTTAATTTCAAAATATCAAGATTTTCCGTTGAAAAATGCTACATAGGGAGCTACTTCGTTCCCCTATGGACTGGAACTGCTATTGATTTACTATAGAGAAGCTAGGCTGGCTTTATTGATACATGCTGAGAAGTAAATTTTTCACAAAACCTCAAATTCTTTCAAAGATTTATCTCTTAATTCAAACTAGATGCCCAACCTACATTTTATCTAATGGTCAAAAACTACTTTTTACAACAGGTTCGTAATCAAGGAATAGAATAGCACAGCAATAGATCAATTTTGTATGGTTGATAAATCACCTCTTTTTATTACTACAAACTCTAATTTCTGTGATATAGCATTTATGTTCTTCATTAGCGAATGATGTCATTGGCCTTTCAGGAATTTCCTAGTGTAGAAGAAGGAGAAAGATGAATGGACGTAGAACGATCAGATCATCATGGAGCGAATCAGATCTAATCCTCATAACCACGAATGAATCTAAATTTAGACGAAAGGCTCCGACCATATAAACAAGTCTTACTCTTTGCAGGTCAAGTGACGTTTTCGAGTGCACCCTATGACGATAGTAGCATAATCCTCATAGTTGGATCGACCGATAATCCCAGCAGCGGGTTTCAGGACTTTTCCATGGTTTTTTCCTGATGATTGAGCCTCATACATCCATTTTCACGACTGCTACTTTCCGTTTGAATATCATTTCACGTTTCTACACTTCTCAGCCTTACTTTGCGGTTCACCGCTCTTGAAGTAACTGTTAAGTGCCTATCGTCCTTCGTCCTGATCTGGTCAGTGTTTCGATTGATTATAAAGAAAGTTTGGTGTTTTTTATAGTGATTTTTTGTGGATTCCCCTTCGCATCGCACTTTCCTTCTTCGTTGTTAAACTAAAAAGCAAAAAATTAGCGAACAAAAAGTGGAAAAGTTCGAGCAGGAGTAGACAGAATAATAATCTTTGTGTGGTTATTGTGCGGAGGAGGTCAAATAAATGATATAAAATGTAAGTTTACAAGCAATATTATACTGCAACAGGGATTTGCATAACATCCTTTGAATAAATTGCGGTGGGTACTCAGCGGTCATTTTTTCACTTTCTTACTCGACTGAATTAAATTGCGTCTCTCCAATTCAAATTTTTTTTATAACCCAGAGTCAGTGATGAAATGATTGGTTTTCTTAAATCAATGGTTACTATACATTTGACTTTTACCGATAAAAATTAGGAGGGGGGGGGGGGCATCACCATTTTGAATGCAACCGCAAAAAGAAATTGGTTACTCTCCCCCATTTTTGCCCTCTAAACTATCTCCAAATTTTAAGGGGGATGGCCAGGCCACACATTTTTTTTTAAAAAAAATCAAATAATTTTTACGGCTTTCTTTATAATTATCATCATCATCAAAATTGATTTGACTAATTTTATAATTATACCAACCAATAAATGTGTTTATTTACTTCACTACGAATTATCTATTTTTCCTTTTTTTAATGTATTTGTTCGATTCAATTAATTTAAATTTTTCGTTTTCAATTTGTTTTAGGAAAAATTGAATAGAGGTATTTACTGACCTGAATCATAATTAATGCTTTATTACTTTCTACGAGAATATTTACATTTTAGCTGGTTTAGTTAAATGTTCCAATTTATTTTGGGGAAAAATCAATTTTTTTAACACAAACGGAGACTGATCATGAACTGACAAAGAATCAAATATATTAACGATTGGTTAATTCGAAATATTCCTATTTAGTTGAGTGGTAGAATTTTGGCTATTTTTCAATTTACTTTCTCCATCGTCAGTAGCATATTCCTTTTATAGACTTGTTAACGCTTTGAAACAGTGTGCGATTTGAGGCGAAACTAAATCTATGTTTAATGCGTGCTGTAACGTAAGCTTAACTGCTTAACTTGCCGCGACGGAGGCATCCGTCAAATCTAGCTTAATTGTTTGCAAATTTCCATAAATTTAATGCAAGAAATGTAAGTTGCAGAATCCTAGCACCATTAAAATGCTCTTGATACTTTTTTGCAAAATGTAAACCATATAATCATCGTCAGAGACGGTCCTGCAGTACTATTTGGATTGCATTTTGCAGAAAGAAACCAAGCTAGAGTATTCCAATGTTGCTAAGATTGTGCAACTCTTTTTACCTTGCAGTTTTAAACTGACCATATAAACAGCTTTCATCTGTACTTACAGTTAACTACAACTTCAAGACGGAAATTGCCTTTGTAAATTTAATTTTGTGCATGATTTCAGTAATTTGATCGCAAAAAAGGTAAGTTGTACGATAGCAACATTGGAATACTCGTGGTTTCTTCTGACATAATGCGATCCGTATGTATGATACGTTGCGTCAATTCCTTTTGAAGGAGGAACGTTCTGACTTTTCGTATGTATCGGTTCCGATGTCTCAACAATAAATTATGAGTTTAACGTCATTCAAATTTCTTTTTTTGCGGATGGTTAAGAACTATATTAATTGTGTTCTGCTATGTTCGGTTACAGCTGGTATCAATAAGAATAGAGAGAGAGAGAGAGTGAAATAGTAAAAGATGGCATACTCAATTCCGGAGTCACAAGTTGTGACAATAGTTCTCATAGGCCTCAGCGCTTTCTTGACGCCTGGCGGTGCACAATGTCCATCATTCCGTAAGTGCATTTTCACTTTCTTACTAAAATTATTGTATTTAATAACGGAAAAAAGGAATGGTTAAATAAGTTTATTTATATAGATACTTCGACATGCGACATGGAATTAAGTGGCTTGAAAAACGCTTTGGGAAAGTCAATTTCCTCACTTGCATTCAAGAGTAACACATCAAAGAGATTGAAGTGGCGCATCGGAAAAGTCGATTTCCTCACTTGAATTCAAGTAACTCCTCAAAGAGGGTCCCTTAAACCGACTGAATGAGCGTCATTTAGCAAATTAAAATGACTCGGATCTATTTAGTCGTATCGAAAGAGTTTTTGTGTGAGTCTAGTTTCAATCTTGTAATTTTAGAGTGAGCCTGTTGCACGATTTGTTTTTATTTTTTATTTTTTTTTTAATTGCTTGTACCAAAATTACTAAGGAATCCGATGTCACAGGAATTTTCTGGAGTGTTTTGACCATCGGACCGGAGAGCCCCCAAAAACTAAACTCAAAACTGCCCCAAAATCCGAATTTTCAAAACGGTCACTTTTACGCGGGAACGGACCCGGTATTTTCGTGACGTCACAGGACATGACAAACGTGGTCTCCTCATTGTTTACAATGTATTATTTCTCAATAATACCGGAATCACACACTGAATTTGGCAGCTGAATATGGAAGTCAACAGGCGTCGCTCAACGGCTGGAATTTCGCAAATTCGAGTTTTTTCCATCCAGATTTGTATCAAATCTATTCGAATAGTTCAGACAAATCCGACGTCATCCGACGGTTGCTGAGCCACGCTCTTGAATTTTGCACAACAAGCGCTGAAGTCAAGCATCGGGTCGATGACTATACCTCATCCAAGCTACATTCAGCTCCCACATTCAGCGTGTGATTCCGGCATGAGAATTTGTCAGACACTTGATAAAGAGACCAGGTTTGTCATGTGCTGTGATATCCGAGTGTGCCGGATCCGTACCCGCAAAAATGTGACTGTTTTGAATGAGTCGGTTCCTAAAACAGCTTTTTTGAGTTTGGGAGGTGATTCCAAAATTTTTTGAAAAGCGCCATCGTTCTTTTCGAATTTGCTATTCGAATCAGTTATCAATACGCAAATCCCCGCACCTTGCATCAGGCCCAAATTGGGATTTTTAAGAGAGGGATTAGAGATTAGATCCACTCGCTTGGTACTGACTTCGAGAATTAATTCATGTGATGGAACGGTGTTGATTTTGGTCGTTTGGTCTATTCCCAATCCGAATCTTTCAGTGAATGGAAGTTTTCAGTTTGAATTTCAAATTCACACTTGATCGCAATCTAGAAGTGAGCAGAATACCGGAGTCGGTTAAAAATTGAGTCTAGGAGCTATCTTGAACTTTTATAATGTGGTATATTTTCTCCCGTCAAAAATCTGGAATTCATAAATAAATGCAAAATCCGAGGCACAACTTTGAACGAATCGTAGTAAGTTGCACGACTTCAATCCTGTTGCCATACTTTTGCCTATTTCCATTCGCTCACTCGGAACACTTGACCCACTAATGGATTTCATTGATAGGCATTTCAATCCGGATCACCTACACCGCCATGCTAAGGAAGAACGCCGTATGAACATTCAAGAGTTGCTAGATTTCCTTCAATTAAATGTTTGTTTTTGAAGAGAGTTATGAATATTTTCCCTTGTAATTTTCAGGACTTTTCGGTGAATTTGCGAGCAAAAGTATCTAAAAAATTGGAAGAAAAATATGCATTAGCTTACCAGGAAATTCGTGTTTTATCAAAGAAAATTTGACAGCACCTGAAGGTTCATACAGCGTTTTTCCTTAGCACGGCAGTACAGGATCGTGCTTTTTAGATGCGATTTTTTTACTAGAATATTCAATCAAAGCAGCAATTTTTGCTCATATATCAAACATTGATAAAGGTGATAAAGCTCACCTTCTTTCTTTTCTTTTCAGCAAAAAAAGATCAATAGACAACACTCCTTAAATTCATTTGTCTCACTGTAAAAAATGCCCAGTTCTTTTTTCAACATGGTTCATATAAATACTCAAAATGATTTGGGTATAAATATATCATTATAAGGGGGAAAATGATGCATCTGTCTGTGGATAATTATTCCTAAGAGAGGGAAAGGAAAATAAAATTCCGACCTGTTCGCGGGTTTTATCATGTTTACAAAAGGTTTGTGGTCATGTTTTCCTTTCGGACGAGTCTTTTTGCGCATTTTATCATTACATTTTTTATTCGCCTATAAAGATGAAGCAGCCATGTGGCATGCTTTGCGGTACATCGATCGATTTGCCATTTAAACCTATGGAAAAGGATCGCTAAACTGGATGTTCCCAATGAACACCTTAAATATCGATTCTTTACCATAGCTTCAAACGGAAAAATCTCGATGATCGATTATTCACGTCTCGCCACTGAAGCGAAGCCCTCGTACGGATAATGGCCTTTTCAAGGATTTCAAGGACTCACATCGATGACTCGTTACGGGGAGAAAATAAAAATGCTAAAGTCGAAATATACTATCTTTGCAGCCACGTTTAAAAATCTCTGAGGAAGTTTGATTTTTTTTAAAAAGAATCGCACAAGAATATCTCCTTGAAATTTTCTATGAACACTTTTGAATGAATGAAGAAAATTCACGAAAACTGGTGAGAAAAATCCGGTAATTGTTTTCCATTCCAATGTGGCCAGTGTATAGCCACACAGACCTCATGATCAGCGGAAAACGAGAGTAATGAATCCACACTGGTCTGCAGCAACTGTTACAGTTGCTGTAGATCAAATAAAGAACTTCACCTCATTGTATGTATAATTGATAATTGATGAGAACATTCTGAAATCTGATGCTAGCTCAGCGTTGAATTTTACCCTATTGGGACCAGTAAGAATGAACCGCAGATTGGGCTGCGGAGCGGTTAGGGTCAGCCTTCTGCTATTTAAGAAAGTGAGACTTGAGTAGAGATTTACAGCATCGTCATTAAAATCGCGTATTTTTCGACTTTAAAAAAAGTATATAAATTAGTTTTCCAAAGATAAAATTAATCGTGACGGAAAGACAATAACATTGCAAACGGGGACACTCGGTTTCGCACTTTGGCCATCAATACCTACATAATACCCATCCTTATATATTATAGTCTTCATAAAATGTTGACAAAGGAAAGACCATGTTTTGCGGCGTTGTGGGGGCTGTGTATGCCAAAGTGCCTTCAATTTTTCGTTTATGCAATGCGGACATCCATCGAGCACGAATTGTTGCATCAAGGCGTTATCATTAATTGCTTCCAGGACTTTATGTCCACCTACCTTTCGTCAATTAAATAAATGTCCACCGCTGTTTATGTCCACTAAACGTTAAGTGCAGTCTTTATTAAGTCCACATGATTTAATGTCCAACCATGAATATGTCCAAAATTGTCCAAATTGTGGACACGTTATGTCCAAATTTTTTTCTTCTCTTTTAAATGACAGGAACCACCTCAAAAATAAATGCATACTACTACTACCTTCATTCTTAAAAACATTTCATTCATGAATCAAGTCATGAAAAAGAACAGACTCTAAGAGCAGATAAAAACATATGTTCATGTGTACACTGTACGGATATGATAAGATGAAAACCAAAGCGGAAGCCTAGGAAACGCTCCAATGCCAAATGAAACATTTTTCAGTAACAGATGCAGTCAAAATTGAAAGTCCTCTTTAACTAGTTATTTCGTACGCTTTCAATCTTGTAGGATACTGTGCAACGCCTCTGACGCGAAATAGTTGCTTAAAGCGTTGCGGCGCGGCAGACAACCAGCGTGACACGCGTATAGGCGCCTACAAACCTAACGGGATACTTCACGCGTTGCGCAATGCGTGAAGTATCCCCTTAGGTTTGTAGGCGCCAGTGCGCGTTCTGCGCTGCTAACACGCCGCTCCACTCTGTGTTAGGCTCTAATATTTAAACTCGCGGAGTCAGCGTTTTTCAACTCACGACTTTGAAATGTTTGCACTCTCTGCTTTGATTATTCCCCCTTAAGATGAAACAGAAATATGTACTACTGGAAAATATAATGTGTTTTTCGTAAATATATTAGTGGCTCCGTATCAAATTTAATGATTTCCAAAGCATTCAAATTTATTCTTTTATGTTTTCGACTTTTATTGTGCTGCAGCGTGGTGTAAGCGCAACCAAACGCTCAAAATTGAACCTATTTGACTCAAGGAAGTTGATGTACAAATAAGTTAAAACCAAAAAAATTGCGTGCTTCTTAGTTTTTTTTCTCTTTTATTAATTTTTTTATAGTTTCTTTCATAACAAATACAGCTCATTGAGATTCATACCTATCGATGCCATTGCTTGGAAAAGGTTTTACAAATATTTACCACGTCTGGAAAATGTAAATGCTTTTAAAATGAAGTAATCAATTTCATTAAAAAAAGAATGTACATTTAAGGCATATTTTATATCGGAAATTTCAAGGAAAGAAATGAAACCAAGTATTTACCAAAGACAATTTGAAAAGATGAATCAAAAGAAGAAATTAACATTTCATTTAAAATATGAGTTACGATAACAACACCTCTCTTAATCTCTCTTAATTTTCTCATTTCGATATTGTCAATATAATTTTACACACGGACTAAAATATGACGCTTGGATTTGATTTTAATGGACTTTACATTTGTGGACTTAACTTAGTGGACGTTTAAGTAATGGACTTAACAATAGTGTGGGCTTTAGAATTGTGGACGTAAAAATTGTGGACGAAAAGTCTGTGGACGTAAGAAAAGTGGACATGAAGCCCGTGTACCCATTAATTAACGCGAAGGGATCAAATACGTAACGTTTTTTAATAAAAAAAGGGACTGTTTCTGGCTCATTTTAGCGACAGCGTATGTGCCATCAGTTTCCCTAGCGTTGTGTGCCGTGGAATAGGTATACATCTGCGGATAAGCCATAACCATTGATTCCTGATTGCAAAATGATGTGAGAATGGAGCTCTTAAGAGCCCTTCTTTCCGAAGTAAAACGGAAGTTTTCAGAACACCCCACGCGCTGATTGACGTTTCTTAGCCAATTTTGGTCCTTAAAATCGCGGTCGAACCAAACTTTTCGAACCAGCTTTATTTTTGATGAAAATTTGAAATAGGTTGATAACTAACAAAACTATAGAATCGGAAAACTTACGTTGTAATCCATGAGAGTACGTCATATTTTTTTTCACTCACGTGCAAACCCCACTTTTTTTACACTTGGGAATAATGGACATCCTCATCCATCAACAGGATGTCAGCAACATATCATCTATTATCAGCGCCGTCGACACGTAGAAAAGGAAGCCTTTTGTTCTCAGTTTCTCATGGTTGAGCTTTTTCATATGATAGCCTGACATATATTTTTTGCATTTGACTGTTGTAGAGGAAAAGACGAGGAAAAAACGATACAAATTCACTCGAATTCCGTCAATAACAGGATGGTAGCATAGTGCCAAGTCCGCACTATTCTGTGGGAAAATCGAAGCCGAAAAATCAAAAAATTGTAAAGAAAATAAGAGCCAAACTAAGTCACAAGATAAGCCTTAAACGAGTTTCAGGAAGGGAGAGGTTAATCAGTTTTTTTATTCTCTCTGATGGATTTCTTTTCTTTTCCACCAGTGATGAGGCGTGCTTTGCGATATATCGATTTATCTGCCATTTAAGAACATAGAAAGGGATCGGTAAAAAGGATGTTCGCAACGAACACCTTCATACTTGATTCTTAATTATAGCTTCAGATAGAGAAATATCGATAATCGACCATTCACGCCTCACCACTGTTCTTCACCAACGTGTCAAATGCAAAGATAATCAGGAACAAAAACTTTCGAATTTAGTATATATGTAGGAAAAAAAAGGAAAAAAATCAAAAAAAAAATCATAAAGTAAACTTTAAAGAGAGGACTGCCCTTCAAAATTGGTGATGAAAATGTTGAATTTAAGAGATCGGATACTGAAATTTGATTTCTGTAAGACTGGTACTTCCCCTGTTACATCAATACGTGAGTTATTTTCACTTTGTGGATTCAATTATTCGTTATGCTTTACTCCTTTCTCGTAATTTGCTTGTATATCCGCCTTATTAAACGCTTGAAAGGAGAGCTTGAGAAGTGAGATCTTTTCTAACCACCTGCCTCTCCCAAAATGAGATGCCATTAACTACCACACTGTCGTGATACAGAAAAACGCCATGTGAGCTTTTAGAAGTTGCAACATATCTCCGTCAATAAAATCTAATTTACTGGAAAAATTCTGAATATTTTTCTTTAAATTTCTCCAACAATTTTGATCGCAGTTTAATTTCAAATATCTGAAAATTTCAGGGAAAAATATTCATATCTTTCCTCAAAAATAAATATCTTGTCGGGGAAATCCGGCAACATTTGAATGCTTATACGGCTTTCTTCCATAGCAGGGCAGCATAGCAAATAGAGCAGATCAAATCCTAGGAACAGGAATTCAGTAGGTAGGGTTCTCCGGGTTCAAAGATCATAGCTCATCCACTTTTTGAAGGTTACCATCTCGGGTCAGCCATTATAGTGTTTCACGGCCGGAGCAAGGTATCAGAGTCACAAATTGTCCGTTTTCCTGTTTGCGCACTATCACAGCGAACTTAAAATTTCCCAGCCGAGCCCCTACACGCTGAGATGAGGTAGTAGATCTCAATTTTGCATTTTTACTCTCCAACACATATTCTGGCACCAGACTCCGTTATCGAACACTCATGAATCTGAATTATGTGAGAGAAATGCATTGAAAATGGGTTCGTGTGCAAACATCCCTACATGGTATAACATTACAACAGGAAAATCCTGTGATGTATTTTCAACATATGAAGTACTCGGAAAATCTATCGCAGGTTAAACACTTGCAATGCAAGTTTGAAAATGGCGCAGTGCATTTTGGACACTCGTAATTGGGCATGGATATACTTTCAATTCTGTTTCCAGAGCAATCATTGAGGCATTTTTGTGCTGAGTCATCTTTCTTGAAATCATCTTTCAAAATTTTGAAATGACGTCAGAAGCACTTCTTTCAATTGTCATCGATATCGATACATCGAAACGGCTAAAAAACTGAAAACAGTACCTGCTACCTGCTTCAATTTCATATTAAGGTTTTAGAGAATGATTTTCAACACGACTGATCCTCAATGCTTGATCTAGAGACTGAAATTTTGATTTTTTTCAAAGTCATTCACCAAATTTTTAAAATTTGAAATATACTGATCGCAACCAGAATGCTTTGCACCAAAGCTGGGGATCTTCTGAAGAGTCGCGTTTTGGCCATAATTTAACTTAAAAATGCAAAGCATTGTGGAAATATGGAAACGCACGATTTGGAAAAGTCTGCGTATCTTTTAGCATGAACTAATTCGACGTATTTCTGCGTAACGGAACTATAGACGGGTGGGAAAGATAGGGTGTGCTCTAGAAAGCTGCGTAAGAAACAATGTAAAATTTGGCGTGATTCCTTTTGGGGAAATGGAAAAGCGGACTTTTACATTCTACCACGGGTACCACGTGCCAAATGAATGCGCGGCACTCATGAGCCATTAGCATGTGACAAGAGCGTTGTGGACAGGGCTCATGAGTTAATGCGTTGCTGGATCGTTGCGCGTTGGCTCGGTCGTTGCCGCTGACGTCACTGGCGCTTTATAGTTCCCATTCACTCTAACGGCCCGAGAACGAACGAGCACACGTTTTCTTTCCCACTCGTCTCTGGTTCCGTTTAGCAGAAATACCTCCAATGGACCACTAGACAAGGTACGAATTTCAGCATTCTGATACAGGTTTCTTAACCGAAATTTCACTTAGAACACGATGCGCTCAACAAAAACTACCGAAATCAACTCCTTACGAAGAAATTAAATGATTCTTGATGCGTGAATTCAAGCCACCCGCTCCTGAAAACTCAATGCTATACGTGATTCACATCGCGCGCTAAACGTCATCATGACAATCTCTGCTATATAAAAATCTGGCAACCTCAATCTTGACGCTTTAGCTCAGTTATAGCAAATTGCTTATAGTTTGAACAACACATGGTGGGAAATGAACATTGCTCGGTTGAGAAGCTTGCTGAAACCGTTGTAGTGCGCAATTTGACTTACGTAGAGCTTTGAGTTTCTTGTGAGCGGGCCTTTCAAATTCCTCATAACCAATGTGAAATAAAAACGTTAATTTAATATCTTCCTTAGGAGTTGATTTCAGTAATTTTTGTTGCGCAAATCGTGTTTCGCGTGAAATTCTGGTTTGAAAACATGTATTAGAATGCTTAAATTCGTACCTTGTCTAGTGGTCCATTATAACCAAGACCTAATTCGCCATGGACTTCCGAATCTAATTTAGAATCTATTTTAATTTTAGGTCAGTTTTTCTCAAGTTGCAAAATTGGATCTCCAAAATTTGACAAGTGCTTGGCGAAAGCTTTGAATGACGTACGACCCTGCTTAAAATATGGTAAGATTTCTCGATTATGGATCTGATGAATCACAATGGTTTTTCGAATTATGTTTTCGGACACGATCGTTCACTTCAACTCATAGAGGGGGATCCAGCAAGTTGGCAGAATTATTTTCCCTCCATTAATTTTGTGTTGAATCGATTTTTGTCGGAGCACCTGGCCTCTCCAAAAATCTATCAATTTCCATAGAGGTAAATGAAGACTAAACAATGTAGCCAACTTACTCGATGCGCCAGAACAAAACTATACCTGTGCCCGTAATGAATTAATGGTGAAATTTAAATTAGGCAACAAGATATTTTTGCTCACAGGTTCAATCTATCATACTTTTGGACCTACAGAAGTCGGTCGTGCGATGCATAATTGGACCGCGTTTGACAGAGAGGAACCAAGCAACATCAGCTATTGCCATATTTTACCGGACAATTAATGTTTTTACAATGTTTGTGCAGATTCCTTAGAAAAAATTTTAGTTAGTGCCTCGGGGAAACATATTTTCTTCGGTTACTCGTAACTCAATATCCAGCAGTTTCATTCAATCGCGCTGCGCCGTAACCGTATGCATACTTTCACATCGAGCAACTATTTTAACTCCTCGGAGATAAAATTGCATAGCTAAGAAATTGAAGGAGTTTTGAATGCACGCACCGATTTGTGGCTTTGCGCGGTTACTGCGTGGTAATGAACAGGGTGTTTGCACCGAGCACCTTAATAATCGATTCTTTACCATGGCTTCGAATGTGGAAATATCGATAAATGATCATTCATACCTCGCCACTGGTCGGTTTCTCGACTCGAAAACTGAAAAAAGCACACTTGTTAACTTGAATATTTTATTTTGGGGGTTTGACTTTTGGAATCTTAAAGTATGCAATTTTAGACGATTTTTCTTCCAAATCGAACCTCAATATCTTTCTTCTATCGGGAGATATCTACGTTCACAGGTTTTGACTTCCATCCCCCCAGCATCCCTCCAAAATTTTTTGGAGATCTGAAAATTTGGGGGAAAAAACGCTCAAGTCTGACTAATAAATAGACAAAGTTTGAAGGAATTCCAGAGGGGGGGGGGCGAAAAAAGCCGCTTTTGCATAAAGTTTTTTTAAAATTCTAACAAAGCGCATAGTAAAGAGGAGTGATAAGAGCAAGAATAAAGTGTTATATTTACTGAAAAGAAAACAACACACAGGTGATTACCAGCCCCATATTTTCTAAGGTTTGTATCTTAACTGATTATCCGCATAAGGTGCGCAACCGGTGAATATAGCCCAAAAGACAGCACATGGGTCTGTTCCCTCAGTTGTTTTGGAAGTTCTGTAACCTGAGGCTTTCACTGCTGTCAGAGGCTTTCTTCTGATACGGCGTATAGGACTCGGTGGGGGCGATTCAGCGAGTTCCGGAGCCTCCTTCACCACCTTATTATTATTTTTCGACTTGATGCATCCCCAACATGAAAACCTCCTTAATATGCCACGAGGTTTCTCCTGCATCTAAAATGAATAAAGTACAGGTTGCTTCGTTACGTATGTCATGGATACTAATTTTTATATCAAATACATGAATTATTTTGCTGATACGTGGACAACGTCATCATATTCGCCGTGTTAACCAATCAGAGCCGCCGCCGTCGATCGGCTGAGGTCACATGAGCGGCGCGTTTGAATCTTACTTATTGTTAGTGGTGTTACGATTTTCGGTATTTAGTGGTGTTCAGCCTTCATTTCCGCGATTATCAGACAATATAATTTTTGAGCAAGGCAGACTCCTGTAGTGAAATTTTATTCTCTTTCGAAAAGGTTCTTATGAATTTTTGCATTGGATCAACCCTTCAAAAGATATCAGCACAAAAAGAACATGTGTCATGCGTTCTCCCATAAGAACATTATGTTAAATCGCGGCCGAGCTTCATCTACTAGCGTGACGTCACAGAATCGTAGTTACGGCCTCTCCATTCTCTTACCTAGCCAATGCTGAGACACATAGTTGTCGGATTATTCAACTTGTAATTTCACACCGCGAAACTACTCTGCTCTCGACTTATCCTTCAGAACAGCCTAAAGAATATCACGAAAGAAAAAAAAATCCAAAAACCAAATTTTTGACCTCACTTGAAACACATATCGACGGTGTAAGTCGGCAATCACATAACTCGTTTGCGGTGTCTGAAAATCTCCGCCTCTATGTTATTTTTTTAAAGGAGAACAAATTGACGTCGTTCCTTGAAGTTTTCGCAGAACTTCCTTCCCACAGAGATGAAAAATCACGGCAGTTTTAAAGAATTGCCGTTGAGTAGTTTTCCGTTTAAAAAATAAAGTATGACAGGAAGTCTGCGACGTCGCAAACCGAGTTATGCGATTGCTGACTTACAACGTCGATATCTCCCTAGAAAACCTGTCTCCTGAATTCAGAGTTATTTTCCTGTAGACGGTTACGTTTAGGTAAAAAAGTAGAGCCTTGGGAGGGAAAATGTCACAGCAAGTGTCTTAATTTTTTGTTGTAAAGTCACACGGTAACAATTTTGAGGATTTGTTGCCAATTATTTCGATTGGGTTTGACAAAACAGAGGAGCTCCTCTTGAGAAGGTTATCATAGATTATAACGAGGGAAAATTCAGAGCTACAAGTCTACGCATTTAGAACGATGTCCAAACCGCATCATACAACGACTAACTCTGACCGAGTATACCTAATGAACTGAGGTGAATAGTTCAATAGTTCAATAGTTGAACATGATCTTCTATCGTGATACGTCAATCATGCCGTAGATGAATCGGTCTCTAAACAATTTTAGTCAGTCTACTTAAAGTCGGTTTTGTTCTCCTTAACCGTAATACCCCGAATATTCTCCATTTCACGGATTTTTTATGGAATACAATGGGTGTTTTAGATATTTCATCATGGAATTTCTTTTTACTTTTAATCGGATCTCTGTATAAACTAGCGTTTATGAAAATACAAAAAAACATCACAAACTACAAAACTTATCGAATAAATCATCAAGGTAGAAGGAAATAAATCATGCAACCCCTACCCACACCCGCGAGATAAGTTTCAGATCTTACCGATGTTTCCTCCTCGCGAATACTGCGTGATGATTTGATCTCATCCCTGCGCGCTGCACGTTTCAAGGCTAGTCCATCCAGTGAAAGGAATGACTCTTGGAAAATCAGTATGAAGATGGCGAAGAAAATGACATTTGAAGTCATTTTTAGTCGATTTCCCGTCATGGCACTCCGTGTTTCACTCGCCCATCCGCTGCTATCGGAGGCTTTTGAAGACTGAACACGATATGTGCTATAAAAAAGAGGGCATTTGAATGTTTTCTGCCCCTGAGTGCGTGATGAATTCAATGCAAGTCTCCACTCTAACGTCAGAGCTTACTCCGGTTCCAGAACTTATTCACAATCCACTCTGCAAAAAAATCACTCTTTTTTCAATTGAAACGACCTCTCAAAATCGCGTACATGGACGTATTTATGCTAAAAAGAACTATGTGCATAAGGTTTGCGTGAGACATAGTTCCTTTTGTCATAAATACGTTCATATAGCCATGAATCGATGGTGAAACTGCAGAAATGCGTAGGTATCTCGGTTTGCGGAGTTGCAGACTTTTTATCGTTCTTTATTTTCTGAATAAAAAATACTACTAGGAGCTATTTTTTTTAAAATTTCAGTGACTTTTCTACTCTTTTAAAAGAGTATTTCATGAAAAACTCACTCCGTGATGTTGGTTCGGTTTCCTTTAAAAAAGAAAATACTAGCGATGACTTCGAAATACCGAAACGAGTTACGCATTTTTGCAGTTTCTTCGTCGAAATGTGAAATGCACCGATGCTTAACTTCCAAATAGTTAGTTTCATTCATTACTGTTGAACTAGTGCCTCCTATCAGTCTTGTAATCGTTTGATTTTTTAGTCCCTGTTTACAAGCCTTTCTCTTGAGAGCTGTGTGAACTCGCTTATTCTAGCTCTATTATCTCTCTTATTCTCTTTTTTTCGCACAACTTCCAATTATTCCTAGGCTTTTGTGGAAGGACAGTATTAAAACTTATGTTGAGGTAAACATGTGAAAGAATAATCCATTAATTGTTTTCGTTCAGGTGATCCTAGCTTGAATATACCGATTTTGGAACCAATCAGCTACGGTCCTAAGCCTGTCCATGAAAATATTGACTTGATGTTCTTGAAAGCTCAAGTGGACTTATTTAACATTGTAGAATACGCTTGGGCCAACTCCACTTATCTCAATACCAAGTATGTATCCTCTCATCACCTCATCATATCTTTTATAATAAAATTATTATCCTGCATAAAGAAGAAAATAAAATAAGATTACACTATCATTTCCGTTCAAGTGAAAAGAAGGACGAAATGGGAAAATTGAGGTCATAAAGTTTCAATATCCTTTTTTCCATATTTATCAAAACGTTTTCGGATATTTGTTCTTTGTTCTTTTTTCATTATTTCGTCGTAATTTGGAGACTATTATGAAATTTTCAGCACAAATGTGTATAGTCAACATGTTTACTAATTACCAAAACAATTTTTCACGATGCCACAGTCTGTAAATACAAAAGTCTAGCAAGGAGAAAAATTATTTTTCACCATTTTTTCACCTATTTTTAATTTTTTTTTCTTGTAATACGTCTATTTTTTTATTCGAACACTGAGGCTCTATTCTAGTTTTTAGATGATTAACTTATTAAACTTCCATAATTTGACACACTTTGAACCTGAAACTGTACTTGATTTTCACCCATAGGACCAGTCTCCAAGATCAGAAAATAGACATCTACCAATGGTTGCCCTACAAAGTTCTGTGGGGAGATATGTACGTTTATGCAGAGATGCCAGATTGGAAAGCCAACCGAACTGTGCAGTGGAGCGTTGAGTTGTGTAAGTAACTGCCGTCCTAAGGAAAAACGTCGTATGAGCCCTTAGACGCTGCCATATTTCCTTTAAAAAATCACGAATTTACCGGAAAAGCTGCGAATGTTTTTCTGCAAATGTTTCGGACAATTTTGTTTACAATTTAATCTAAAATATCTGAAAATTTTAAAGAACGATATGCAAAACTTTCCTCAAAAATAAATGTTTCATTCGGAGAAATTTGGCAACTCTCAAATGTTCATACGGAGTTCTTTCTTAGCATGGCAGCAAAGGCAAAGGCATTTTCACACAATCTAACTGAACTACATTTTGCAATAGGGAACCACTAATTCTTGGTCATTTTTAGAAATATCAGACGGATGCCGTCAAAGAGCTAAGAACCGAAGTGTGTTAGAAAAGAAGAGGTCCGAATCTTCGTCTTGAGTATTTTGCCGTACGCTTACGTGTATACCTAGATATAAGAGAGAGTTTCATAGGTTTCGGTCGAGAGTACAGATGAAGGAGTATGCAACAATTCTAATGGATATCAAGATAGGAAGGTTGGATAAGAGTCTGGCAAAAATTCGAATTCTTTTCCCACACGAGATAAACAAATAAAGTCGCGAACACCCTGTACATCGATCCTTTTCCATGGGTTTAAATGGCGGATCAATCGGAATATTGCAAAGCACGCCACGCCACTGGCTCTCACTGAGAGGTGAGAGAGTAATAGAAACTTATAAAAGTGTGAAAAATGTATAATTTTTTAGATATTTTTTTCTGTAGGTTTAATGGCTTAGATCCACCTACAGCCAACTATCGACAAATTGAAATGATATAGAGGTAATTTTTGAGATATTAAAATTTCTGGAAAAATTGGAATTTACTCAATTTTTAGGGGTAAGTTAAATTTCAGATGATGAACAATCTCTGGATAGACAAGTCTTGAACGACTTTTTGCAATTCGGCATTTGATTATCTGAAAGAAACATTACTTTGTAATTCAGCTCTTTCGGATATTTACTTGCATTGACTGCCTTGTTACAAGAGACCTTTCATTCTTTTTACCAAAAAATTGAATTTTTTTCAGTTGATGTCAAACAAAGGACCTCAATCAAGAAAGTAAAGAGCACGAACAAACTCCAAGTGTCGCTGAATCTTTTATCTATGAGAGACGTCAAATTTCAGCTGATAAATGCTATTTATGACAAGGATTTTGGTGAGTTTTGGCTATTCAAATCCTACTATATGTAGACTTTTACTATTTGATTATTTTTAGATCACTAGATTTTGGTCACTGGTTAAATGAGAGCTATAGTGCACGGTTTTTGCAACACCTGATGACGCTTATCAGATTTCGCGAAATTCCACTCTTTATTTCGAACCTCCAATATACAATCCTACTCTTTCAAATCCTACTCAGTTCGAAATAACCCCATTTGTCTATAGATGGCTGTAGATTCCTAAAAAATTTTGAACAAAGGAATAGAAGCCACACACCCCCCCCCCCAAAAAAAATCTCTCCAAATAAAGAGCGTTGGCGGTTACCAGTTTTACCCTGTCAGCTCCGGAATTTATTCAATGCAACGATTCAGAAATATTCTTTGCTGAAAGTAAAAAATAAACGTGATTTTTTCTCAGAAATTAATGGACAATCTGGGAAGCCTCAAAATGCGTCCGCATACAGATAAAAGTTCAAAAATGTTCCGGATGTATTCAATGCAACAATTCGCGGAAGTATTCGTAGTAATTCTAAGTAAGTTTTCGGCAGAAATAAAGGAAAATCTGCGTCATGGAAGTCTGAAAGTGCGTCCAAATACAGTTTAAATTTCAAAAATTTTCCGGGTCTCTTCAATACAAAAATTCGGAAATATTCTCTGCTGAAAGTAAAAAATAAGCGTAATTTTTTCACGGAAATTGATGGAAAACCTGCGTCATGGAAGCCTTCAAAATGTGTCCAAATAAAGTTAAAATTCCAAGAAATTTTCAAGGGGGGGGGGAGGAAGCGGGCCCCTCTCTGAACTGAGGGATATTCCATTGCCCCGGACCCCCCCCCTTAGCAAAATGACCTAGGCACGCCTATGTATTGGCTCATACATTTTTTAACTCAAGAATAATGTTAACCTCTCTTTAAAAATATCACCAATGCGCGGTTGTCCAGAAAAAAACAGCCAGGATGAAGATGATTTTTTTGTTATCCTTGCGTTGAAGTCTCTCGACCTTAACAATACGTCGCGTCGCTTGGCTGAAATAAGGGCGTAACTACTCATTGAGATGGGCCCGAAAAGCATTAAACTGTTTGGGTGACAGGATTCATTGCAGAGTGAAGTTACGCCCTTATGTCAGGTAGGCGACGAATGAATCATTAAGACGCAGTACGAATTTAAGCATTTTGATCCAAAATTTTCTTTTCAAAAGTTCACATAGAACACGACGCCCGCGTACCGAGAATTAGTAAAATCAAACCCTAACCAAGATAATCTCGTTTTTATTTAACACTGGTTAAGACAAATTTCTATTTCCCACTCATACATATACAAAAAACCACACTCTACGTGACGCAAACACGCACTGCAACGGTTTTGGCAGCTTCTTCATGAAGCAGCATTCCTTCTTCATCCTGTGTTGTTCAAGGTGTAAAAAATGAACAATAAATAGCTGAGCTGAGGCACTGATATTTAGAGTGTTATATTTTTATACTTACCCCAAAAACCAGAGGCGGGTGAGAAAGAGCACATGCGCTCGTTAATTAGAGGTATTTATGCGAAAAGGAACTATGTCACACTCAATCCCTATGAACATAGTTCCTTTTAGCATAAATACGTCCAATTGAGGGACGTAAGATAGAATTGGAAATACAAAGCGCTAGTGTAGTGAAGTCAGCGGCGACGACGGAGATGAGCACGGTTGACGGTGCACGGTGGATCGATTCAATAGGAGAGGTCGGACTAAATCTAAAAACTTTAAACGCGTATAATTCCGTTTGTACAAACCTTTGAGGTTCTAAAAGTGGCTCCATTCATTTCCTCGTGAAATTTTCTAGCCATAGCACCCCTTGAAATGTAAAATGTGAATAAATATTAACACCGAAATTCGCAGTTTTATAGTCAAAAATTTCATGTCCGACCTCTCAAATTGGACGTATTTATATCAAACGGAACTATGTGCATTATGAAGTGAGCCCTGATACCCATAAGAATATATGCATAACAGGGCTCACGTCATAATGCACATAGTTCTGTTTGACAGAAATACGTCCAATTGATTGGATCCACTGTGCGGCGGGGCTTTTTATCTCATAAGCCTTGTCCTCAACGCTCTTTTCGCATGCGTACTGCTCATAAGTTAGCATATTTTGGCGCTTAATTCCCTTTAGTCAACTCCCTGATGACTTGTGGGAGGACCGAGTTTTGTGGCGGTTAGGCGTCACAGAGCGCCAAAAAGCACTGGGAAAGCGACTCTTATTTATGTTTATCCTTTTAGTTCAAACTAAATTCCCACTTTTCCATTTTACCAAAGGAAATCACGCCCACGTTTACATTGCCCTCTATACAGCTTTCTAGAGCATACCCCATCTTTCCTACCCGTCTCTAGTTCCTTTCAGCATAAGTACGTTCACGAAATGCATCGAAAAACGATGCTATTTAGCTTCGGAGTTACTTTCAATATGATTCACGTCGGAACAATTACGTTCTACGTAAAATTGTGATGAGAAAACACACATCACAATGCTGAAAATCCCAACTTGTCCTTGTGCGTCAAACTTAGTAGCCAGTTTTCGTCTATTAACATAAGATATCTGTTGAATCGATACAAATCGATAAACATAACCTTTTCTTTTCAATATCGGTGTTTCAGAAATGATGTTTAATACGCTGCTACATCGATATTGGCGCCTTGTTTTCGCAGTGCTCAAACCCGCAATTTACAATTTAATCAATGCGGTGCAAACGAACCTAGCCAATGATGTCTATCCAGAGCTCAAGCTGGAGGAGTTATTTCAGCCGATGTAGAGAAAGCTTACTGTATCAACTTGATCATAGTCACTGCCCGATACTTCTCTTCTTCGTTGTAAATTTTGAATAATAAGTTGTAATAAAGTACTTCGTTGTAAATAAGTAGGATACATTTTCCCAGTAAAATAGGGGAGTGTTATATAAAAAATGATAACGACACTGATAATTATAAATTGTAAACCCGAGATACCCCGGCAGACTTCCTAGCTTTCATTGGCCAAAGGAATCAGATTTTCTTGATGTAATTATAACGAAATGGTATTAGGTTTCGTTACATTAATTTACTTTTAAATTTAAACATATTTTTTGGTATTTTTTCCTTCTGACTGATGTGTGTCTGGCCATCAACTAAAACGTAGCATGCCTTTGTCTCATTATTTCAAGCGTTTCATACAATTTATCTTTTGAAAAACTTTTTTTACTCAAGTCTTGCTAAGTTAAGCAAATGCCGCACAGAGACCTAGCCGTCCCTTCCTCTCTTGAATAGGAAGATGTTTCCATTTTGTTCTGAATTTCGATTCCTTGGTTTCAAAGATGTCGAGGAGACAGTGAGGATTGGTCATTATTTCAGTGACATCCAGATGTAAAGAATCTTAAATTTTAATAGATTTAGAGTCTCCTCTTGTGAATAAACTTTTTATACAAATATATCTTTTAATTAATATTTTACGGCGAGGCACAACGCGCTGACTCTTTTTAGGTGCATTACCAATTTGTTGAATCGACCCAGCAGGAACGCTTATTTGTAAGAGAACACGATATGTCTAATAAATTTTAAGTCCGCGCAATGCCAGAATAAAGGTTGCAAAGGCTGCTGATGGAAATGACTTAATTCTTTATTCTTACCCTTAAAATATTCTAGATTATAAACATAGGGAACAATAGATCTCAATAAATAGGCAGAATTTTTTAAAGATCGTTTTATTCAAAAGTCACATGACATATTTCGAGCATTTCGGAGTAGCAGCTATTTACATATGTATAAAAAAGTTATTTTTAAAAAAAAGACTATCAGAAATGAAAAACGAGCATTGCTTGTCGGCGGTCTGAAAATGTAGGTGCATGTCGGTTTTTTCGTTGTAGTTGTTTTTTTTATTTACAATAATAATTTAGCGTGTAAACTGAATAAATTAATTCCGCACTTTTTAATTTAAACAGGAGTTTTTTTTAAAAATGAGAGTGTTCGGTTTTGACTTGGATTTTGAAAGTGACTAAATTTTTAATGAGGGAAACCATGTTTCCGAACAAGGCTCAAAGTGACTTCGACATTAGAGAAAATTACGTCTTAGGAACTGAGGTTATCTCTACGCAGAACAGGTGTTACCTGCCCGGTAAAATTGGCACCCCTACCGAAGTGCGATTTAGTATAGCTGAATTATGGCTCAGCGCTGTACAACTTAAAACTAATATAATTTAATTGGAGCACGTACAGAATTTTCCGCGATATCACAATTTTTCCCGCATCATGCCCTCGAAAGCTGAAAAATTGAGCAAACTTATTGAAAAGTGTTGTGAATTTTGTGGCCTATGAAGTTTTGACTCTTTACCGTGACTAAATTATCAAAAGCTCGGCGGTTTTAAACGTTTACTTTGGTGTTCTTGGTTATTTTTGTCGTAAAATTGAGCTTAATGTAAGTATCTTATTTTACTACAACTGATTAAAAAATAACATTATATCTTTGTTCATCTCTCATACAACATTTCTGAAATTTTCAGCTTCGAGGGGCATCTTTAAAGAAAATTCACTGCCCTCTTGGCCGATTGTTGAATTGTTTTCGACTGAAATTCAGCTGCGTCATTGGTTGGTTTAATTAATGAATCTTTCTCATCGAGTAAAGTTTTTAATTTCGTTCGTCGATGGTGTAACAATGAAAACACGGATCCAAAAAGCGGTGTATTGACATTTCCGTTTGGTTTTTTATCTTTCGAAGGAACACGAATCAACCTCACTACTTGAAATGTTCACAGAATACTGTTTCTATGTGGGGAAATAGCAGTGAAGTCTTCAAGAATTGACGTAGAATAGTTTTCCTTAAAAAATAAAAAAATACGATGCCACATACCACTGAGATACGTGTTGTTTATGGTTTCGCCGTCGGTATAGAGTGCAAACATATCGACGGCCAAACTATGTAACCACGTATCTCCATTGCGATATTTCAAAATTGCCGCTCCTATTTTATTTTTTGGAGGAAAACCAAGCAAACATTATAACTTGAAAATTATACAGAATATTCTTCCAACAGAGAGGAAAACTCTTGGAATTTTTCAAGAAATTACGCTGAATAGTTTTCCAAAGAAAAAATAAAGTATGACAGGAAATCTACGGTGTCGCAATCGGAGATACGCGGTTCCGTACTCTGACTGTCGATATTGTTATTTATTTTCAGTCGACTTTAAAGATTCTTTCCTATTAGCAATGTTTCGTGCGTAACCAATGAAATATTTTCATTCGCAGAACTGGCGGATCCAGCAAATTGGCAACATTGTTTTCTCTCCATTTAAATCAGTGAAAATGTATCGATTCTTGGAGGGATCAGGTTCTCCGACAAGAATCGATTATTTAACATAGGTTTAAATGGAGGAAATCCGGTGTTGCTAAATTGCTGGATCCGCCTCTGTCATTCAGTCTTATCTAATCCAAACAACTCAAGAATCGGCCGCGCCGGTACGAAAGTATTTACACGATGGCAACATTAGTTGAGTCTTAAGGAACGGATTGAGTCACAAACGGACGGAGTCAATCCTCTCCTAAAGGTTGGCCTCCATTGGCAATTTGGTTCAAAAGATTGAGGAACGGACAATGTTCAGGTAGCTTAGAACTTGCTGGGCTTCGTGAGGAGGCTCTTGAGGTCGACCGTTGTGAAAAGCTTGTTGGCGAGGGCTGTCTTGGCCTGGTCAGACAGTTCGTAGGCGAACATTTTGACCACGTCGTATCCGATCCTCCAGAATCGGGAAAGGGCGCGGTTGATGACACCCTCTGGAAAAATAAATAAAATAAAATTCCGTTACATTGGTGTGTAAACGAGAAAAAACACTGATACACATGACCAAAACCGAGGGTAGCAAGTAGTAAAATCGTGCTGGGTCCACAATATTTTGCGAGGAAAACCAGGCCAAAAACTTCAAAAATTACGATAGAGTCAAACGTGGCCCAAACTGAGTGTAACGAGGTGGTAAAATAGTGCTGGGTCCACAATATTTTGCGAGGAGAACAAGGCCAAAAAGTTCAAAAATTACTTGAGAGTAAAAAAGTGGAGCTCTAATGAGTACCAGTACAAGACTGAGGGAGAGAGCTTATAGAGCTCAAGAGCATTAGAGTTCGAACTTTTTGACTCTCTCGAAATTTGTGAACTTTTTGCCCTTATATTCCCAGCTAAATAGTGTGGATCTAGCACTACTTTAGCATCAGTGTGTAAAACAAGGGTATTTGAAGGAACATTCGGCAAAAGGGCACGTAACAGTAGCCGAAGCGTGAAACCATATATTATCTGCTCCTTGTGGAATGTCTCCAGGCTTCACATTGGTGATTACAGCTTGATGCAACTATTCGTGCTCGATGGACGTCTGCATTGCATATACGCAACATTGAAGGCTCTTTGACATTTCCTGTCTCACAACGTCGCAGAGTGTATTGACATTTTTGTTGTCGACGAGTTAGGAGAAGTCTGATAAACATGGATGGATAATACATATATCGATGGCCGAAAAGTGAAGCCACGTATCGCCGTTTGCAATATCGCAGACTTTCCTTACTTTTTCCTTGAAAATCAATCCCACTTGCCTCAAAAACCACCTTGAGTTTTCCTCTCTGTCAGTAGAATAATCAGTACAAATTAAGCGATAAAATTGACGTTTTCCTTTTCGAAAAATGAAGTAGGAGCGGAAATTTTGAAACATCGCAAAGGAGACTTGTGGTTTTGCACTTTGGCCATCGTTACGCATCGGATGTTGCAAAGTATTGTACAACTTTGTAGGCATACGAAATTTACATTTTTGCCCTCTAAACTTTCCTAATTTCGGGAAGTAATTTTTCCGAATAATTTGTGCAAATTTTTATACTGGAGTTAGAGAATATTTCCACACTCGTAGCAAAACAACTGTTGGAGATGTGCTCTTTCAACGGATGGTCCTTTATTATCACTTTTCACAAAAGGATATTTTTCAATTTTCATGGAACGAAAACACTCTCGTAAAGGAGGAGACATAAGGAGAAGGTAGTTTTCGGTAAAAGGGCTTGCAGCGGGTTGAGCCCTTTATGCTGCTACCGGTCAAACTTCAAATCATGCAAGAAATAATTTGGCAAACAGACCCTTTCTATAAGTTCTCCTTACCAGATTTTCTTTAATTCAAAATCGAGGATGTGAATTATTTTACAAATGAAATCTTTTTTTCTCTTTTTTTATAAGGCTGTCATCATACAGGTAATTTGTTCTTTAAGCGCAAGTTTTATGCTTCACGGTGATCTGTGAGGAGATATGCCATAGTCATCTATCAAAAGTGTATCGTGAGAATTTTTCGAGAGGGTGAAGTTTCATGTATATGTATATTTTTTGACTATAATAATTAAAAATTTCATTTTCGAAAGAGCCCAAGCGTCAATCCTTTATGAACTTTGGAGGCTAGAATATGCAAAGCAAACCAAGGGTCACGAGTTTTTGTTATTTCGGCCATCCGGCCAAGTAAACGGTTCATTGTCAGAAAAAGAGGTGATGTACAGTGACCTTCAAAGGAAAACGACGCATTAATGAGCACCAGAGAATCACGTATTCAGGTGATAGTTTTTTTTGTTTTTTTTTTCAAGGTTTTTACATCCCGTTCGTCAGATTTTCCTCAAAAAAGTGGCTCATGTTGCTTAGACCACTTGTTTGTTCTGTTTTATCGGAGAGGAAAACTCATTTCTTGCTGGACATGACTTCACAGTAAAACACTTTATGCATCCATTTTCGCGTGGTAATAAACTCAGCTAAGATAAATCTCTCTATACAGATTTTCTTTGATTCTAAAATGAGTGATCTGTTGGACAGCATTCACGAAAAAACGATTTGGTACACTGATGCTTAGAGAGGTATAGGTTAAAAGACATTTAGATTTCGAGTAGGTGATGTCAATGGGTGATGAACAATTTTCCATAGATATGGATTACATTTTGCAATAAGGAACCACCATTTTTGGCCCATTTTAGAAAGAACATACATGCCATTGGTTTTCCTATGCAGATTATGTGCTTTTATGGGAGAGCCAGAGACAGTGGTTCCTTATTGCAAAATGTAAAGTGTTGATTGATTTTTTTCAAAAGTATAGATCGGGCAAATATTTTGATATTTTCTTATTAAACAATTTTTTAAACTGGTTGATCTGAGGGGTTTCTATTATTATTTTTCCTCAACTCCGATGACGCCTGTCAACTAGCGAAGAAAAAAATGTAAAACCACTCCAAGCTCGAATAAACGTGCGACAAAGTTCTGGCAACTTTAGAGGCAGTAAGTTTTTCAATTCGGGGAAAAAATGACGAATGTAAGGGAAAGTGTAGGCGTTGATGTACTCCAATAAAGATGCGAGTGAATGCACACCTGGGGTTAAAACAGCAGGTAAAATACACACGCACACGCGCTCTAATATGAAGCCCTAACGCATGAACACCGAGAAAAAAAATAAGAAAAAGAGGAAAACCACTATATCTTGATCTTAAATTTGATTCAAAGGAGCGTTGATTGTTTGCTCAATTCACGAGCAAGTACCGGATGAATATCGAAAATGAAACTAGAAAAATACGCTTATGCGTGCCACAATCCATTTGAATGCAGTAAAATCAACCATTTTTAATTCGTAAAGTTTCGCGTGATTTGAATATACCTATCTAAAAATACTTTAATTGACCCCAATCTTGGAGCATTCATTTAATACATTTTTTCGCTTGCGTACACACGCTACTCTAGTTTCACTAAAAAATAAGCAAAAATCCACGCATATCAAGCATTCTAAGCTGGTGTTGAATCTAATCGTCGCAAGTAGTTTGTAAATAGTACATATATTTTAATCAAAATCCTCCACTCCACGGTTTCTTCTTTAGATTAATCGAGTTGGCTCTATGTCAAAGATGTTGAGTTAATGCCTATTCGATGAAAATATATTGTCATAATTCTGTAATGGCTATGAATATTGATTATGTATGCTTGAATCCCTGACAGCTATTTGAAATATGTCACTTGAACAAAGCGGCGTCACTTCTACGCAACATGTTTAATCATTATTCCACATTCTCTTTTAACTTTACAAGGTAAACCTAAATTTCGCCTTTTGCAGTAATGTTAGCGTGCTGCACCAATGCCACATCGAGTAGGCACGCAGGAAAATTGAGCTTATTGCGCCTTCAATTCATTGATATAACAGTATAGAGTGTTGCATCATGCATGTAAGCAGGCGCTTGTATCTGGTCATTCGTCACTATAGTTAATGATTTCCAAACTTTCAGCATAAGAATAATTGATGGAAGTCCTCGGAGAAAGATCTCGCGTTTTCGAGGAGTTTACATCCCAATGTTACGTGAAAGTTTTATGAAATGGGAAAGAAAGAAAGAAAATAATTGTACCCACCGATAAATGCGTCCTCTGTAAAGTTGTAAAGCTGTAGTTTGACATCACGGACTGACAGAACAATCAGAGAGACCTTGATCTTGTCTGTGCCTGGGATCAGCTGGAGGGTGTACCTTTGCTTGACTCCGTCTAAAAAAAGGCAAATCAAAACTTGACAGAGCTTCACAGAGCGAACACTTCAGGATAAGCAAGCACTCTAGCTCTAAGGTGAAAAGGACGTTAAATTTGCTACGAGAAGCGTTTTACCTTGTATCGACATTTTATACAAAAGACCCTGATCTAAAAAAAACAAATTCAGATTAAAAAGGATGGAATTAAACAGCGCTTTGAAACGAGAGAAACTTTAAAGGTACAAGTTACACTGTACGTCTGACAAATTGAATTCTTTGGTTTTTTAATACGTCACGAATGAATTTTGATCACAATTCACTGTTTAAAGTTACAATACTTCAGAGGGCGTGAAGAAGATCGGAAAGGTGGAAGATCGGAAGGAAATGTTTTTTTAAAAATTAAATTTAGTAATTTTTGAGAATACACAAAGGTTTCATTTTTAAAAAACAAAATATCACGGTCCTACATTCCGTGTACCATCAAGCTAAGTGGATTTGTGAATTAATTGCGATTAAAACGGAGGATCCAACCTTTCCAATGAGCCCGTTCCAAACTTTCGCTGTGACAAAAAGAGGAGCCGTTTCTCAAGAGAAACCGAAAATATTTACTCAAATTTAAAATTTATCGTACTCTGACTTTCACTTGCTCTCAAAAGGTCAATTTTCGGAATGTTTTGGTGTTCTTCTCGCTAAATGGTGCAGAATAAACTCCTCTATACTGCAGAATAGTTTTTATTTCTTGACTTTCTACCGGTTTAAGAACCCTTTTGCCATCACGTGACAATGGTAAAACATTTCAAACCGCGCACCTCTACGCAGTTACAGATTTCTTGTCATCCCTGGTAAAAATTGACAATAGAATCTGTGTTCCAAAATACCATAGACCTACAACCGGCTGTAAGATTTCCAATAGCTTCTATAGCCGGCTACACAATTTCTTATAGCCTTGAAGAGCCGATGGCGACTAAGCAACAGCCAGGCGATAAAGTATATGCTAAACGTTACTAATTACGGATTCTAGGACTTAGTGAGTTTTTGGAATACTGCTCTCGTTTTGGGCCGTAGTATCTTGATTTATTTTGCAAGGAAAGCTCCGTACTTTTGATGGATGCCTGCCATTACTAATATATTAGAGCGCCTTCAGTTTTGTATGATACTGTGCAATACCTCTGGTGTGAAATAGTTGCTTCAAGCGCCGTGGTACGCTGCGGCGCGGCGCGGCGGGTGGGCAGCCAGCACGTAACGCGCATTGGCGCCTACAAACCTAACAGGGATACTTCACGCATTGCGCAATGCGTGAAGTATCCCTGTTAGGTTTGTAGGCGCCAGTGCACCGCCGCTCCGCTTTGTGTTAGGCTCTAATATTTAATCACGTGAAGTCAGCGTTTTTCAACTCATGACTTTGAAAATGTTTGCACACTCTGTATGGATTAATCTTATTTTAATTGATGAAAAAAAATTAGTAGTAAAGGAAAATACAATGTGCGTTTTGTAAATATTAAGGTGATTCCATACAAACTTAAGGATCTACAAAGCACACGAATTTCTACACAATTTCTTATAGCCCTTTATAGCCGATGGCGAAAAAGCAACTGCCAGGCGATAAAGTGTAAAGCCCGGCGATAGGAACTGTAGCCCGACTGTATAATTTTTTATCGCTTCGTGTAGCCCGGCCGTAAGATTTTTTCCACTTTCTACAGCCAGCTATATGAATTTCTATCGCCTTCTTCAGTCGGCTATACGAACTCCTATGGTATTTTGAAACGCAGCTCCTATCGCCAATTTTTACCAGGGATACTTTGTAATCTCCGTGGGAATCTATTTAACGTCGTCATTTTATCTAATTTTATTCTCTAAGTAAAGAATCTTCTGCGAAAATCCCAAAAAATGATGTTCATTCAGCCTCCGTAACAAAAATGCAATATGACAGGAGATTTTGTAACACCACAATCAAGATACGCGATTTGAGAATTTCACTGTCACGCACAAATAGATGTTTCGTCAATACTCACACATGTCCAGGACCATGTCTCCTGTTCTGTCCCCGAGGGGCACTCCGAGGAAATCTCCGCTGGCTTGAACTCCAGAGATGACATGTTTGAATGGAACCTCTTGGTAGACAACCAACTTGCCTCTGTTGAAATCAGACCTATGGCAGAACAAAATGGCGCAGTTCCAAATCAGATATTTGTCAATTTTCCGTAGAAAAATCAGTTTTAAAAAATTAGAATGGGCAAGAATCATTCCGATCAAAGAGGAGCAAAATTGGACTGCATTTTGCAATTTGGAACTATAAATTCTGGCTCTTCTGGAAAAACACTTATGTGCATAGGAAAACTAATGGCATATACGTTGTTTTTAAACCGGGCTAGAATTTATATTTCCAACTTGCAAAATTTAGTCCAATTAGATGTACTCGTGATTGGTTTTTGGAAATATTTTAAGCATTTTATCGGTAATTTTAGGCGGATGAAATAGATTTAAAAGTTAACGATCAAATAAAATACTGTTACCATATACCCAATTTCTCCATTGTCTGAGGATCACAGTCCTCGTCGGTATTTGCAGGCCGAAAAGATGGATAAATTCAGTTGATATTTATTTTAGTTAACATTTGCATTAATTTAATATAAAGCGCAGACTGTTTCCTATTTCATAAAAAACATGTATGAAGATCATGATAGATATAAAGCGTAAAAACAATACAAAATCCATTCTAGTAATTAAAGTCTGTATCTGCAGATTATAATACTGGTGAAAGTTTTCTTGAAAATCAAGACAAGAATTCTTAAACTTCGTTAAAGCTGCGCAACTCATATTTTTTAAAAGAACGACAAGTTTGTGTAAATGGAGTCTCGGTCTTAGATGAGAGAAAATCAATTTCATCCCACTACGCAATAATTGACTTTGCTCGTAAAACCATGTTTTTAGTTCAATGATCTCTTTTCTTCTACTTAATACCTCCTCTTTTCACTGTGCCTTCTATTCTGCCGATCCTCATGTCTCCTATTAGGGATTCTTGTGTTTTCATCAAGTCCAAAGAATGTGCGTTATCCAAATAAATCCCAGTTTTCCAAGCAATCATGCTTTGCTGTTCTATCTCCGGCGAATATAAAGTTTTATAGCAGTTTTGGTGACTCTTTATTATCGATCTGGTCAGAGACACTTTTAGATACACCTTCAATGACCCTTTATGTTCGGTATTTTTTAATTTCATCCTGCTCTCGGAAAGTTCTGGCAGTTCAAAAATGTAAAGCTACTATAGCGCTTGAGGACTTCTTTCAAATTTCCACACTAAAATTCAATATTCAGCAAGATTGTGAACTTTTCAAATAAGAGCCGCGTAATGAATTTTCGTTGGAACGGTATAACATTAAGTTTTTTTGGTACTTTTAACAGTCAATATCTTTGTACTTGACGAACCTTCGATTAAAAAGAAACCGAAATCCGATGACTTTTAATTCTTAACCAAATCCTTTCATAATTGAAAGATAAACGTGTGGTATGCACAATTGGACTCCATTTTGCCATGGGAAACTACTATTTTTTACTCATTTCAGAACAACATGCGTGGCATTAGAATCCCCGTACGGATAAGTGTTTTTATACATGAACCATAAATAGTAGTCCATTATTTAAAAATACAGCCAATGGACCACTAGACAAGGTACGAATTTCAGCATTCTGATACATGATTTGTAACTAAAATTTCACGTAGAATACGACGCGCACAACGAAAATTACCTAATTCAACTCCTTCCAAAGATATTTAACGATTCTTGATACGTGAATTCAAACCACCCGCTCATGAAAACTCAATTCTCTACGTGATTCACATCGCGCGCTGAATATTATTATGACAGTCTCTGCTATATAAAAATCTGGCAACCTCAATCTTGACGCTTTGGCTCGGCTATAGCAAATTGCTCACCTATAGTTTGAACAACACATGGTGGGAAATGAACATTGCTCGATTGAGAAGCTTTCTGAAACCGTTGTAGTGAGCGATTTGACTCACGTAAAGCTTTGAGTTTCTTGAGAGCGGGCAGTTCAAATTCCTCGTAACCAATGTGAAATAAAAACGATAATATCTTCGTTAGGAATTAGTTTCAGTAATTTTCATTGCGCGAATCGTGTTTTACGTGAAATTCTGGTTAAGAAACATGTATCAGATCGCTTAAATTCGTACCTTGTCTAGTGGTCCATTCGATCTCTAGGTGTCACGTTGATGATAACGCCTAAGTGATACAATTATTCGTGTTTTATGGACATGCATGTTGCATATACGATAAATTGAAGGCATCGTGAGGCTCGATATGATGCCAGGCTATTACAGCGTGTTCCGTGATGCGTTGTGAGTGGCGAAATATTGAAGGAGCTTCTGTGAGTGAGCCAGGGAATGTAGTCCCCTATGGCAAAATGAATTCCAATTTTTTCGCAGCAAGGTAACGGAAAAATAAACGGATTCATGAATTCTTTCTATTGCAGTGAACCCATATCGACGGTGAAACTACCAAACCACGTATCTCGGTTTGCGACGTCGCAGACTGCCTGTCATATTTTATTTTTTAAATGAAAAACTACTTAACATCCAGTCTTGAAAATTTCTGCGATTTTTCCTCTTTGTGCGGAGAAAATTCCGTGAAAATTTCAAGGAATGATATTGATTTGGTCTACTTCAAAAAAAAATAAAATGTGAGCGTAGATTTCTAAACACCGCAAACGAGATACGTGGTTTGGTAGTTTCACCGTCGATATCAAATGTACATCAAATATCAAATTTCACTACCGATGGTAGAATGACCATGAATACGATAGCTTGACCATCGTTTGAAAAATATCTACGCGAAGTATCGGCAAATTGCATTGAGTCGAAAAAAAGTATTATTGCCATATTTTCCTCAAACAAAAATTGAAATACTGCCTGATATTGGAGGAAAATCCGATGGTGAAACTGCAGAAATGCGCATTCCGATTTGCGGCGTTGCAGACTCCCGGTCAAGATTTTCTACATGGAAAACTGCTGAACGTCATTTTTTGAAAATTTCAGTAATTTTACTTCTCTTCTTACAGAATATTCTGTGAAAACTCAAACCATGATGTCGGTTTCGTCTCTTCTTTAAAACTAAAATACACTGGGAAAAAAAACACATTGGATCTAGAGTCCAGACTCTTAAAAACATCATCGACAAGAAAAAGAACTTTTGATCCAATCGGATTTTTGCTTAAACTAAGAACCAAGCCTCTTCATTTGAGTGGATTTCCTTTTAATTTAAGCAAAAATCTGAGTGAATCAAGGGTATTTTTTCTTGTCAATGTTTTCAAGCGTCTGGACTCTAGATCCAATGTGTTTTTTTTTTCCAGTGTAGTAGCTGTGATTTCGGAACACCGCGACCGAGATATGCATTTTTGCGGTTCCACCGTCGATCTGTTTTGCTTTGCTGTCAAAGTTGTTTATGAGACAGTTTTAGGACCCTTACTTGACTTTAGTGTAGGTAGAATTGGCCCATCCCCATTCTGTGATATTGGGCAGGGTGACTGAGAGGGAGTAAAGACCGGCGTAGCTGGTGTCACCGTGGAACGGTGCCGCGTGCTCGGCGTACTTGATCGGCTCCAGGATTGGGATGTTCAACGAGGGATCACCTGCAACGCAAAATGACGTTAGGTTCGATAAGTTAATATAAGTTCATAGGATTCTCAAGACGATTAGATGGTTGTCTTATTAGTTGTACTTTTGGGCTACATCGTGTAGTTAGGAACTGATATTTCTGGCTCATTTTTATAAAAAAAAAAACGTACGTGCCATTTATTTCCTTGTGCAGATGTGTGCTTTATGGATGAACGAGAAACGGTCGTGCGGTATTATCGCAAAATACAGCGCATTTCGCAATAAGGTACTACTATTTTTTTCTCCAACGATGAAGATACATATATTTGCATAGGGTATGACTAATTATTACACGCATGTTGTTTTTGATATAAACAAGATTTCGTATAGTTCGTTCTTATAAAATGTATTACAATTGAAAATTATAGTAAATTATGAGGAAACATCTGACTTTTGACTATCTAGTAGACCACCTAAATTTTGAAACTGGGAAATACGGTATAAGGATTTTCCTCGTTTTCAAAATTAAATATCTATAAAAAATTTGGAATGGTGAGAAAAATCGTGGGTGCATTTGCATTGGACTGCATTTTGCAATTAGGAACTATAAATTCTGGCTCTTCTGAAAAAACACATATGTGCATAGGGAAACTAATGGCACATACGTTGTTTTTAAACCGGGCTAATTGCAAAATGTAGTCCAATTGTTCCATGACATCCATAGAACTTTGAAACCTATGTTATTGAAAGAACGCATACTTGTAATAACGTACCATATTGCAAGCACGGCCTCGCTTTGTTCAAAGCAAACAGCAGGCAGTCGTCAAATTTTGGTGAGTCTTTACGGCAATTTCCGAAGAATTCTCCTGAGAACAGAAAAAAATAAAACTGTGAAATTAACCTCGTCTGATAATGGGTACTAGCATAAACTGAAACAACACTGAATAACTGAAAAAGGGATCCTTTAGTACCCATAAATGTATTTGTTTCTTTCTTTGTATGAAAAAACTATGTTTTTTAACTTAAAGTAAACAGCTTGCATTCTCTCTTGCTTCAAATGAAGGAATGCAAGTTTAAGTTCTGGAAAAAATAGACTTTATGAGCTTCTACATGTGAGTACATCAAGAGTTGAGAAAATAATTTTATTAGTTTAATTCCTCTTTGGGTTAAGGAGATAAAAAACTCCTGCCATTTATGACGTATGCAACTTTACTTGCATGCTTGTCGTGAAAACAGAAGTGGCAGCTGCTGGCGTTGTTATGGATGAACCTATAGTGGTGCAAGTGTACAAACAAATGATCCATTTACCCCTCCTATTGTTCAGCAAATATTTCTTATCTTACAGCAATCAATTATCAAAGGAATACAACATCGTTGATGAAGTGAACATTTCTGTTAAATTTATAGTCTGAAAACGCAAAGTATATTTATTATAAATTTTCAACAATTTGTATGTTGACAGAGAAGCGCGATTTTGCTACTTATTATGTATTCTGCTCTTTCCAAATCGAAATTCACCATTCACCGGAATGGGTATAAACAATGCTCTGAATGTGTTGATATCTTCGATGGCAACCCTGGGCTATTAGGTAAACTGCGGGGGTGCAGAGAGGAGCAAACAGAATGAAATGTGCATAAAGGATCGAACTGGTTGTCAGGTTTTCCCAGACGCTGAGCAGGATTTCATAAATTCGTACGCATATTTCCAAGTCGGCAATTACTAGAGTGGCATCTCTCTCTTTTTTAAGTTCGCCCGCAATTAGAGTGATATGCGATGGATTCAAGCGTTTGCCAGGTGGTGGTTCAATTTAAACCGACCGGCAACATTTGTCTCGTAATGCGTGCGTTCAAGTCCAATCTACTGTACTCATAGGAAGAGCACCATATGATATTCCAAATGCTGTCGATTTTTTTCAATTAAGGACCTTTTTTTTTGGAGAACTTGTCGCATTTTTCTTCCAACTTTCCAGATTTTTTTTTTTTGTTATTTACTCTAAAATATCTGAAAATTCCTCGGAAACATGAAAATGAAAAAATGTGAATTTCCTCAATTAAAATACTTTATTCAGAAAGGTCTTCGGACACATTTGAAAGTTCATACAGCGGTTCTCCTTTACGCGCCAAAAATGATGAGCTCAAAATGGGCTGAAGAGTGTTACCACGTTTGGCAAATTTTTGCAATTATTTTATTGAGGTATGGAAAATTTGTAGTAGCTTTGCGAGATAGTAGAATTCTGAAACTTTCTGAGCCGAGTCATATGTAAATCCCATCATTGCAAACTGCAAAACAAGGTAGGGAAAGAAAATATGCACATGAGTGCATAGCTCCTTATTAAATTTAAATATTGTGAACGAATTGAATGTTCCCAAATTCAATTCATAGGTATTTGTCGAATGAAACCTTTTACTCAAATATCTGCGTCTACTCATGTCAGACCAACTTTAGAATTTTCTTTTGTGCTAAATTTTTCCCAACAGGTCACAAGTAATCGGTCTAACGCTGTAAAGTAGAAAATCGCTACACTCTCACAAATTGTAAATTTTTCAAATGAATTTTATTGTTTCCAATCCCAGTGTTCGGTCATACCAAAATATAATAAATTATGTCATTGCTTCCTTTCCCCCTTTTTTTTCTCTCCAAAATATTGGGCTCCAGTGTGTGCTCACAACCAGAAAATAATAAAACCAGAATCGTATCCCTAAATAAATCAGTTGAATCAAGTGTAGTCATAGACTTTCGAGTTTGGGGAGGATTATCTCCTCAGGATCCATCAAATCTGTCCTCGTCTAGTTTTATCATAATTTATTATCATAATGTTCGTATATAATTTTATTCTTGATCATCACACCATCGGAATGTGATACTAAACAATTAACTAACCTAGTAAGGATCTATTCAATCTGGTTTGATCTTGGAAAACCCCGGCTGATTCCGACGCGTAATAAAATACAAAGACTTACAAAGGACCTGAGTATGGCATGGGCCTTTGCCTGTCTCAATAAAAACCCCACGCTAGGTTCAAGCTAATAAATATGCGAGGATGTCTGTGCAAGCTGGCAATTCTATGTCTGGAATCATCCGTTGGTCAAGTCTCCCTGCACTTTTCCTCCTGATGAAAAATGTACAGGGAAAACATATGCCGGGATTTCAGAGGACTAGTGACGGCTCCCGAAGATTTATTAAACTGTTGTTTCAGCACGTCAAAATTTCAGACAGGGGACTTCTTACTCGAGGCGCAGCGCACCTTCGGGCGTATCTCTAATTACTATTTGAAGGATTTTAACACAAAGGAAAAACCAGGTGGGTTTGTTTCCTCCGGTTTTGGAAATAACGCCTATCTAGCTCATCAGCGAGGCTGAATTATGGCTATAATTTTAACCTGAAACTTAAGTTGTTTGGTACTAAACTCAAGAGGAAAAATTGCTTTATTATTGTGTCTGCATTCTCGTATGATTTAAGGTGTGTTCATGAGTTTGAGCTGGGATTGAGGATCTGTCCATCCTTTGCCGGCACTAGGGTTATTTTTACGGCCCTTTTATGCAAAAGGAAAATAGTTGTGGAAGATAAAAGAGGGCTTAAATTGTCGTTTTAAGGAGACACAATTTAATTATATAAAAAATAATTTTTAATAAAAAAAATTTCAGCAGTCTAATGTCAATTTGATTTCACCTCGCTTTCTGACGGTTAAATTGGCCCTAATCCCACCTCAAAAATGGCTACCCTCAGGGAAGTATGTTTTAAGAGTTGTAATTTTATAATAGTATTACTTAGTGAAAGAAAAAAATTTGCAGAACCGTGCGATGTAAAACTCTACTTCTTATTTTTGGCGAATTTAAAATACGCGTAAAGGATTTTAAGGATTCTTTACGGGTTAAAAAACACGCTGGTAGAATATTACTTGATCCTTATACAAATCGAAGGAAAAGTCAAAGCTGGGAAAATAAAAATCAGAGTTACACTGAGTTTTCATTAAGCGTAACTTACTGAAAATTTCAAATAAAAGTGAACTTTGTAACTGTTTTTCAATATAGGACCATCTGAGCTAACCCCCCCCCTTTTTTTTTAGTCTTTCAGTGCAATTTACAGGGGAGCGTCAATTCCATGAGACAAAATTCACTAAAACTCTACACCTCTTGGTGTAACAGGACTTAATTATCTTTCAAGAAATTCCCACCTTGTTATACCTGAACCGGATAGACCTCTCCATTTGCCTCAGGTAAAGGCTCTTAGATTTTTCCTGTGTACGATAAGTATCTTGATTTATTTTGCGAGGAAAGATCTGTACTTTTAAAGGATGCCTGTCATTCTTAATACGCTCAATTCCGCATAATACTGTGCAACACTTCTGTTGTGAAATAGTTGCTTCAGGCGCCGCCGCACGACGGGCGGGCGGCCAGCGCTAAACGCGCATTGGCGCCTACAAACCTAAGTGGATACTTCATGCATTCCGCAACGCGTGAAGTATTCCTGTTAGGTTTGTAGGCGCCAATGTGTGTTTCGTGCTATGGCTGCCCGCCTGCCACGGTGCTTGAAGCAACTATTTCACACCAGAGGTATTGCACAGTATCATACGAAATTGGTAGCGCTCCGACATATTAGTACCTAATGACAGGCATCCATCAAAAGTACGGAGCTTTCCTCGCAAAATAAATTAAGATACTATGGCCCAAAAAGAGAGCAGTATTCCAAAAACTCATTAAGTCCTAGCATCTGTAATTAGTAACGTTTAGCATACACTTTATCGCCTGGCTGTTGCTTAATCGCCATCGGCTATAAAAGGCTATAAGAAATTGTGTAGCCGGCTATAGAAGCTATTGGAAATCTTACAGCCGGCTGTAGGTCTATGGTATTTTGGAACACAGATTCTAGTGCCAATTTTTACCAGGGAACCAAATTATGTAGAAAAATTGAAGAAAAATATTCTTAAATTTACCGGGAAATTTGTATTTTATCAAAGGAAATTTGGCAACGCCTGAAGGTTCATATGGCGTTTTTCGTTAGCACGGCAGTACAGTCCACTTCTGTGTTTTACGTTCCTAATTCCTTTTACACTTAGAGTGGTGCCATGAGAAATCTATGTCTGATTGGCTCTCCTTTTAGGCTTCATGGATGTCACTAACGAACAGATAGATTAATCTTTCACTGCGGTTGGAAAAAATTTAATGTGGAATGGAGCACAGAAATAAGGGGACGAACGGAATGAGAGAGAGATCGTATAGAGGAATCCGGCCATGAGTCGACTACGAAAAATGTAACCGACTGCATCAATTTCTTGCCCGTTTGTGACATGCAGAACCCGAGGTGGTGTCACTCTGTATATAAAGGGACTCAATTGGGGATGCTGCCTATTACCAAAAACGTTGATTTTGGTCAAAACATCGCCTTTGACTAAATCGATTTAGGTGTAAAACTCAATTTTCCTGAATGACGATTCGTGAAATATCGATTTTTCCTCGTATCCACATTTTCTTCTAGAGATATACATTTAACGACTTCAAATAATCCAAATTATGAATAATCAAGAAAATAGCCCAAATATCGCAAGAAACGCAAAATTTCATCAATTCGTTAAATTAGTCGCAACAACGCTTAATACTTTGTAGTTGTGTTATTTAATAAAAGTTTTTTTTTTTTTTTTTTTAAAAAAAAATCAATTTGGGGTCCAAATTGCAAAATGCAGTCCAAATCAGGGTTGAAAACTTAATTCGACTCACCAGGCTTAAAATCGATTTTTTGGTCGAATCGATGAAAAATTCACATCCCTAGACCCTATATCGACGGTGTAAGTCGGCAATCACTTAACTCGTTTGCGGTGTCTGAAAATCTCTGCCTCTAAGTTATTTTCTTAAAGGAGAACAAATTGAC